ATTCATCACCCCAAACTCAATCCCAGCCTTCCCTTTGTGGTATGGTACCTTGCAGTATAATTTCAGAGAGATCCATACACTTGAACACAAGTTATTGTCTGGAAACTAGAAAAATGTGTTTTTTGGCCCCTTTTTGGCCCCAAATTCCTAAACATTTAGGGAAATTACCCCCAAACTCAAACCCAGCTTTCCCTTTGTGATATGGAACCTTGTAGTACAATTTCAGAAAGATCCATACACTTACACACAAGTTATTGTCCTGAAACTAGAACAAGAGTGCACAGGCTGAAATGTCTCGCCTTCTTTACTAATCATTGATATTATGTTGATAGTCCTAAATATAAAGCTTTACTACAACTATCACATACACTTAACATGATCCAAGAAAATGAGGTCAAGGTCATATAAACCAAACAAGAAATACATGTACACCTTACAATCATTCAATACACTAAATATAGTTGACCTATTGTTTATAGTTTCTAAGATACAGACTTAACCAAGAAAACTAAACATTGACCAATGAACCAATAAAATGAGGTCAAGGTCAGATGAACAATGCCAGGCAGACATGTAATACAGCTTGCAATCCTTCCATACAACAAATATAGTTGACCTATTGCTTATAGTATTAGAAAAACAGACCAAAATACAAAAACTTAACACTGAGCAATGAACCGTGAAAATGAGGTCAAGGTCAAATAAAACCTGCAAGACTGATAGGTACATCATAAAATATTTCCATACACCAAATATAGATGACCTATTGCATAAAGTATTAGAAAAAAAGACCAAAACTCAAAAACTTAACTTTGACCACTGAACCATGAAAATGAGGTCAAGGTCAGAAGACACCTGCCCGCTAGACATGTACACCTTGCAATCATTCCATACACCAAATATAGTAGACCTATGGCATACAGTATAAGAAAAACAGACCAAAACACAAAAACTTAACTATAACCACTGAACCATGAAAATGAGGTCAAGGTCAGATGACACCTGCCAGTTGGACATGTACACCTTACAGTCCTTCCATACACCGAATATACTAGACCTATTGCTTATAGTATCTGAGATATGGACTTGACCACCAAAACTTAACCTTGTTCATTGATCCATGAAATGAGGTCGAGGTCAAGTGAAAACTGTGTGACGGGCATGAGGACCTTGCAAGGTACGCACATACCAAATATAGTTGAACTATTGCATATAGTATTAGAAAAAAAGACCAAAACTCAAAAACTTAACTTTGACCACTGAACCATGAAAATGAGGTCAAGGTCAGATGACACCTGCCCGCTAGACATGTACACCTTACAATCATTCCATACACCAAATATAGAAGACCTATGGCATACAGTATAAGAAAAACAGACCAAAACACAAAAACTTAACTATAACCACTGAACCATGAAAATGAGGTCAAGGTCAGATGACACCTGCCAGTTGGACATGTACACCTTACAGTCCTTCCATACACCGAATATACTAGACCTATTGCTTATAGTATCTGAGATATGGACTTGACCACCAAAACTTAACCTTGTTCATTGATCCATGAAATGAGGTCGAGGTCAAGTGAAAACTGTCTGACGGGCATGAGGACCTTGCAAGGTACGCACATACCAAATATAGTTATCCTATTACTTATAATAAGAGAGAATCTAACATTACAAAAAATCTTAACTTTTTTTTCAAGTAGTCACTGAACCATGAAAATGAGGTCAAGGACATTGGACATGTGACTGACGGAAACTTCGTAACATGAGGCATCCATATACAAAGTATGAAGCATCCAGACCTCCCACCTTCTAAAATATAAAGCTTTTAAGAAGTTAGCTAACGCCGCCGCCGGATCACTATCCCTATGTCGAGCTTTCTGCGACAAAAGTCGCAGGCTCCACAAAAATGCTTGTTTTTTGCCCCTTTTTGGCCCCTAATTCCTAAAATAATGAGGCAATTACCCCCATCATCAATCCCAGCCTTCCCTTTGTGGTATGGTACCTTGCAGTACAATTTCAGAGAGATCCATACACTTGAACACAAGTTATTGTCATGAAACTAGAAAAATGCTTGTTTTTTGCCCCTTTTTTGGCCCCTAATTCCTAAAATTTTGAGGCAATTACCCCCAAAATCAATCCCAGCATTCCTTTTGTGATATGGAACCTTGTGGTACAATGTCAGAGAGATCCATACACTAACACACAAGTTATGTCTGGAAGTTACAAAAATGCTTATTTTTGGCCCCTTTTTCCTTTACTGTTGGTACCATAACCCCCAAAATCAATCCCTACCTTCCTTTTGTGGTAATGACCCATGTGGTAAAATTTCATAGAGATCCATTCACTTAAACTAAAGTTAGAGTGCGAAAACCAATGTGTCTTCGGACGACGCCGACGACGACGACGCCAATGTCATACCAATATACGACCACAAAAATTTTTTTGTGATCGTATAAAAACTGTAAAATTTTTGTTAAAACTACCAATTCGACGGCAGCAACCCAACAATGGGTTGTTCGATTTGTCTGAAAATTTCAGAGCTGATAGATCTTGACCAACTGAACAATTTTACCCCGCGTCACATTTGCTAAAAGATTTAGTTTTTGAGATATAAGCCAAAAACTGCATTTGACCCTTGTGTTCTATTTTTAGCCATAGCGGCCATGTTTGTTGATGGATACAAACTTCGGATACAATTTATAAACAAGATACCCTAAGGAACATTAAGTTAATGTTTGAAGGTAATTGGCCCAGTAGTTTCAGAGGAGAAGATTTTTAAATGTTAGCAAACTTGATGAACAAATTGTGTAAAATTGTCTTTAAAGGGCAATAACTCCTTAAGGGGTCAATTGACAATTATGGTCATATTAACTTTTTTGTAGATCTTACTTTGCTGAACATTATTGTTGCTTACAGTTTATATATATCTATAATAATATTCAAAATAATAACAAAAAACTGCAAAATTTTGTTAAAACTACCAATTCGGTGGCAGCAACCCAACAATGGGTTGTTTGATTCGTCTGAAAATTTCACAGCTGATAGATCTTGACCAACTGAACAATTTTATCCCATGCCAGATTTGCTCTAAAAGCTTTAGTTTTTGAGATATAAGCCAAAAACTGCATTTGACCCCTATGTTCTATTTATAGCCATGGCGGCCATATTTGTCGATGGATCAAAACTTCGGATACAATTTATAAACTAGATACCCTAAGGAACATTTAATTAAAGTTTGAAGGTATTTGGCCCAGTAGTTTCAGAGAAGAAGATTTTTGAAATAGTTTACGACGACAGACGACGGACGCCAAGTGATGGCATAAGCTCACATGGGGCCCTTTGGGCCCCGGTGAGCTAAAAAAAGGGGGGTAGGGGTTACCCCAATGGACTTCCCTATATGTCATTTGATTAGTTTTATTGTCCCATACAAGAATATTTATATTTTTGGGGTGGGGATCTCGACCGTTTACAAGTTCTTAAACAGAAAGAAGGTGGGGATGACCCCAGGGTACTTGATTTTTATTTCATTTGATTTGTTTTATTGTAACATACAAGAATATATATGGTTTAAGGGTGGGGATCTTGACTGTTTACAAGTTTTCAACAAAAAAAATCATTATCATATGCTGAAATATTTATAATATCTAATTTAACAGAACTATGGTTGTTTAACATAGTACTCTAACATAATTAATAATGTAATAATCTTCAAAATGTCTAATGATATAGCTTATAATCATTACCACTTAGGAAATAGATAATTTTCAAATAAATCTGTCACTCCAATTTTTATTCTGAGATAAGACAAATCATAAAAAGATAACAACAGTAAAATATTTAAAAATTCTACTTTTGGATATTAAAAATGAAGATAACTCACAAAGGAGATATACTAAAATCTTGAAAATTAATAGAGACCTTCATTAAGTCCCAGGAAACAACATATTTAAATTTGAAAAAAATTTGTTACAGCGTTTTCATGTTATTTGGCAGCCGCAAGAGCCGCCCAGCCGCCTGCCGTACATAACCATTTTAATAACCGATATTTCCTTTGAAAATCCGGTTAAAAATGGAAACAAAAAATTAAACTGAGTTTTGTGGTAAAAAGCATTATATATACATTTCATTACATTAATTTAAGACAAACTCAAGTTAGAGAACGGAAACGAAAAATTCAGCAATTTTTTCATTTGTAAATAGGCATACTTCTAGAACAGTAATCAAAGTGCTTGTAAGCACTGAATGGTGAAGATTGCTTTAATTTATCAGTAGGAAGTAAAATTGAATATTGCATTGCATAAAGCATTGTTTGTAGTTGATTCAACTACCATTATGCACAAAGAAAGATAAATCCAATTTTCAAAGAAGACTTTAAAATATTTTTAGAAATGAAGGGTAAAAATTGCTTTAATTTATCAGTGGAAGGTAAAATTATACATTGCATTGTATAAAGCATTGATTGTAGTTGATTCAACTATAATCATGGACAAAGAAAGATAACTCCAATTTAAAAAATACTTGATATTTAGAAATTTTTCCATTTGTAAAGGGCATAACTCTAGAACAGTAAAAGTGAAGTCACCAAAATTCAAACTTGATCTGTATATTATAATAAGCATTGTGTATAAGATTCATAACATTTGGTTGAAGCAAACTTAAGTTAGAGAACGGAAACAAAAAATTAGCAATTTTTCTATTTGTAAAGGGGCATAACTCTAGAACGGTAAAAGTGACGCCGCCAAAATTCAAACTTGATCTGTATTTAGTGGTAATAATCATTGTGTATAAGTTTCATAACATTTGGTTAAGGCAAACTAAAGTTAGAGAATGGAAACCAACTTTGGGACGTACGGACGGACAAGGGTAAAACTTAATGCCCCCTCCCCTACTGTGGGGGCATAAAAATATGCTATTTTGACATTTAACTACATTAAACCTTCCTATATTTTCAAGCCCCCTTTTAACAGTCCCCTTTCACATAATAAAGCTACTCACAGTGTGTGATATATCTTGGTGTATTTTCAGGCAATTCCTGCAGACCTAAATCTTCCAGTTCGTCATCTGAATCTGGTGATGTATTAGTTACCAAACAACTGCTAAAAATCTGTAAATACATTTATGTAAATTATGATCATAAAAAGGTCATATTTATATATATATTTATACACAAGGTAGGTTAGATGTCATAATCCCTGTCATTTTAAATGGCATCAACTAAAAGGTCAAGATTAGATCAACCATCATTTGTTGACAAAAACATAAACAAGTTTACGTGGTTGGACATATAATATAATTAAGAAATAATTCATGCAAGCCATAGATTTGTTGGAAATTTTCACACGGCCTGGCCGTTATGATTTAATTTTATCTCGAGCGTTAGCCACAGGCCATGTGAAAATGATAACAAATCTATAGCTTGCATGAATTATTTCGATTCTAACTAGACAAATATGGTTATTTGAAAAACTGAAGTGAAGGTAAGATTGCCTTGTGTATTGCAGTTCTATTTTACCCCCTGTAAGATAAAAGCTAAAAATTTCAAATAAATCCAAGGCTTGCATGAATTATTTCTTAAATAACCACTAGAAATAAACTGTTATCACAGAGATATGTCTCGCCTTTTTGTAATTTTGATAATGCAAATGTTGAAATTAAAATAGCAATACTTAAACATGTAAGTTATGCAAATATTCAAAGTCGATGAACCATGACTGAAGGTACATGGCTAAACAATCTCCATGGAATGAGATGTGCCAATGCTAATACAAGTGCATACCAAATAACATTGACTTATCATAAGTCGTTCCCTTTAAACAAACCTAAACACAAACATTAACTTGTAAACTATGTAAAAGTTTCAAAGTCAATGAACATGATGATCAGGGGTGGGGCTATATAATCTCCATGGAAACGATACTTGCAAATGCCAATAAATTTGCATACCAAATATCATTGACTTAACATTAGCAGTTCATCTTAAACTGATCTAATCACAAACTAATACATGTAAACTAAGCAAAAGTTTCAAAGTAAATAGACCATCACTGAAGGGGGCGGGGCCAAATATTCTCCCTGGAAATGAGATGTGCTAATGTTTATACAACTGAACACCAATTAACATCTGCCTACCACTAATGGTTCCCCTTGAACTAACCTAATTACAAACTAATACATGTTAACTTAGCAAAATTTTCAAAGTCTATAGACCATGACTAAGGGGCGGAGCCAAATAATCCCTATGGAAATGAGATATGGCAATGCTTATACAACTGCATACCATATATCATTAACCTACCACTAGTGGTTCCCCATAAATTGACCTAATCACAAACTAATACATGTAAACTATGAAAAGTTTAAAAGTCAATAGACCTTGACTGAGGGGGCGGGGCCAAATAATCTCCATGGTAATGAGATGTGCCAATGTTAATACAACTGCATACCAAATATCATTGACCTACCACTAGTGGTTCACCATGAACTAGACCTAATCACAAACTAATACATTGTTGATGCCGCCGCCGATGCCGGAAACAGCATACATATGTCTAGCTTTTTGACTCCGTCAAGGCGAGACAAAAATGTGTTCAATCCTTATAATTCTTAATCCAAATATTTTTTTCGTTGGCTATTTACTGTCAAATCCACAGTTGATATGTCGTAACTAAGGAGTGACACGCCATGTTAAATTGCTGAAATCCAGGAATATAGGCAACAGTAGTATACTGCTGTTCAAAAGTCATAAATTGATTGAGAGAAAACAAATCCGGGTTACAAAAGAAATACTGAAGTGCAACAAAAACAAACTCCAACTTACATAGAAACGAACTACATGAATGTGTGAATGATGCAATAGAATAGAAAATGAAACAACACCTACCTCCAATTTCTTCGATGGTTCATGCAGTTTTTCTTCCTTTTTATTTTCTTTCTTCTTTACCTCAACAGATATCATTTTAGTCTCAGGTCTTTTTATGGAATCTTTCTTTTCGTCACAGTTTTCAGTTTTGTCATCTTGCTTTGACTTTTTACTGGCAATGTTTTCCTCTTCATTTGCTTTCCTCTTTAGATTTTTTGGTGATTTTATTTGCTTGTCATCATCTCCTTTTTTGGAACCTCTTTTATCAGGAAAATTCTTGTACTTTTTTGGAATTTTCTCCTTTGACTTCTTTATGCTTTTCTGAATTTCCATGTTTATGCTTATCTGATTGTCCATGTTTAGATTTTTCTGAATATCCATGTTTAGATTTTTCTGAATATCTATGTTTATGCTTTTCTGAATTCCCAGGTTTATGCTTCTCTGATTGGCCTTGTTTAGGTTTTTCTGAAATTCCATGCGTATGCTTTTCTGAATGCGGATGTTTAGGTTTTTCTGAATGTTTATGTTTGTCTGAATATTCCCGACTGTCATTTTCATGTTTTCTGTCCTGTTTTCTATTTCCATCTGTAGAAGATTTTATATGTCGACTCTCATTATCTGATCTTTCTTTTTCTTTATTCTCTAGTGAAATTTTTGTCACTTACTTTCACTTTCAGATTTTTCCTTATGTTTAGGACGAGATTTCTCCTTTCTCCTTTCATTTATAATTTCTAACTTTTTTGTCACTTCTTTGTCAATCTCTTTATCAGTCTCATTTGCTTCCAGATTTTTATCCAACCTTGATAAATTCAGTTTCAAAACTTTGGCTTTATGGTCAATAACAAATTTAGACTTTTTGTGATCTTTTACTTCATCTTTGTCTTGTCTTTTCATGCATTTTGGACCAATTTTGGGTTTCTTTGCAACATTTTTAAAATAAGAAATGTCTCCACTTCTCTTTAAATCATGTACACTACTGTTCATGTCTTTCTTTCCAGACTCTGCATTTTTCTGTAAATTCAGCAGTTTAGACTGAATGTCTTTATCGGTGTCCAAAACCACAGAACAGTCTTTTAATTTTTAGTTTTTTCATTTTTGGTGATAATGATAAAGAGTTATCTCCCTTTTTATTTGGAGATTCACTTCCTTTGTTGTCATCTGTCAATCGCAGGCCAACAATTGTTTTAGGTTAAGCTGACAATGATGGCTGTTGAGAAGCATTGTTCTTCGAAGGACTGACTGAATGCGATTTTCTATTTGTATAATGAACAAGAGCTTCAATATCATCCATCTGTAAATATGCCTCTTCCTCTAGTTGCCTCCCCTGTATTTCTTCTTTCACAATAGTGATATTACTATCTTCTAGTTCTCTCCCATGGTTTTCTCTATTCACAAAATTTACAATGCCATCTTCAAGTTGTCTTCCTTGGTCTTCTATTTTCACAATATTTACATGACAATCAGCCAGTTGCCTCGCCTGGTCTTCTACTTTCACAATATTTACATGACAATCTGCCAGTTGTCTCCCCTCATCTCTTCTATTGACAACATTAACAACACTATCAATATCAAATTCACTGAAATTGCCCCACTGGTCACTATCTTCTAAACCTTTTTGCATTGCCATTTGCATCAAACCTTTGATAGGTGAACTATTAGGCTCCTTTTTAATGTTGACAACTGTTTCTTTTTGAACTGGGGAACCAGTCTGGGATCCAGTAATTTCTGTCATAATCATTTCTGTTTCAATGTCTCTGTACGACCTATTGAACTTCCTTGGACAAATCTCACAGTTCCTATTAATAGTATGGACCAAGGAGTCAATGTCAAAGATGTCAGGATGTTCTGTCTTGATCTGGGATGGATCAATCGGCACAACTACTGATTCTCCTTTCCTCCATTCTTTTACTTTTTCTATAAATATCTCTTTCAGAGTTTTTGTTTACATCGGTATTTGCCACCGGAAATGTCGGAGTCATGATACCAGTAACTGAGCTTGTTTCACTGTTCAAGTCATCTTCAGATAGAAATTTTTGATGTCATCTGTGATTTTGGTTGTTCCTTCCTTTTTGTCACTTACATGACTTATTGCCAATTTTTCTCTCCTTATTTTAGATTCTACTGTTTCTATCTTTCCTTTATGTTCTCTTATTTTTGTTTCTGTCTTTCCTTTATGTTCTCTTATTTTTGTTTCTGTCTCTCCCTTTTGTTCTCTTGTTTTTATTTTCACTGTTTCTGTCTTTCCTTTTTCTTCTCTTGTTTTTGTTTCTTTTGTTTCTGTCTTTCTTTTTTGTTCTCTTATTTTTGTTTCTATTGTTTCTGTCTTTCCTTTTTGTTCTCTTGTTTTTGTTTCTAATGTTTCTGTCTTTCCGTTTCCTTCTCTTTTATTTGTTTGGACTGTTTCTGTCTTTCCTTTTTCTTCACCACTTTTTTTTCTTTCCTCTTTGTGCGATTCGATATGTTTGATCAAAATAGACGTTGTATCAAAAGATTGAGTACAAAGTTTACATCCAAATCTTTTACGGCCCAATTTGGTATTATGTACACTGATCATGTGCTTTTCTAATGCTGATTTAGAGCTATGGATTTCTTTACAAAGTTTACATTTCATTGTCAATTCTATAGTATTAGAGGCATTACTTAAGCTTTCCTCCAATTTCTTCGATGGTTCATGCAGTTTTTCTTCCTTTTTATTTTCTTTCTTCTTTACCTCAACAGATATCATTTTAGTCTCAGGTCTTTTTATGGAATCTTTCTTTTCGTCACAGTTTTCAGTTTTGTCATCGTGCTTTGACTTTTTACTGGCAATGTTTTCCTCTTCATTTGCTTTCCTCTTTAGATTTTTTGGTGATTTTATTTGCTTGTCATCATCTCCTTTTTTGGAACCTCTTTTATCAGGAAAATTCTTGTACTTTTTTGGAATTTTCTCCTTTGACTTCTTTATGCTTTTCTGAATTTCCATGTTTATGCTTATCTGATTGTCCATGTTTAGATTTTTCTGAATATCCATGTTTAGATTTTTCTGAATATCTATGTTTATGCTTTTCTGAATTCCCAGGTTTATGCTTCTCTGATTGGCCATGTTAAGGTTTTTCTGAAATTCCATGCGTATGCTTTTCTGAATGCGGATGTTTAGGTTTTTCTGAATGTTTATGTTTGTCTGAATATTCCCGACTGTCATTTTCATGTTTTCTGTCCTGTTTTCTATTTCCATCTGTAGAAGATTTTATATGTCGACTCTCATTATCTGATCTTTCTTTTTCTTTATTCTCTACTGAAATTTTTGTCACTTACTTTCACTTTCAGATTTTTCCTTATGTTTAGGACGAGATTTCTCCTTTCTCCTTTCATTTATAATTTCTAACTTTTTTGTCACTTCTTTGTCAATCTCTTTATCAGTCTCATTTGCTTCCAGATTTTTATCCAACCTTGATAAATTCAGTTTCAAAACTTTGGCTTTATGGTCAATAACAAATTTAGACTTTTTGTGATCTTTTACTTCATCTTTGTCTTGTCTTTTCATGCATTTTGGACCAATTTTGGGTTTCTTTGCAACATTTTTAAAATAAGAAATGTCTCCACTTCTCTTTAAATCATGTCCACTACTGTTCATGTCTTTCTTTCCAGACTCTGCATTTTTCTGTAAATTCAGCAGTTTAGACTGAATGTCTTTATCGGTGTCCAAAACCACAGAACAGTCTTTTAATTTATAGTTTTTTCATTTTTGGTGATAATGATAAAGAGCTATCTCCCTTTTTATTTGGAGATTCACTTCCTTTGTTGTCATCTGTCAATCGCAGGCCAACAATTGTTTTAGGTTAAGCTGACAATGATGGCTGTTGAGAAGCATTGTTCTTCGAAGGACTGACTGAATGCGATTTTCTATTTGTATAATGAACAAGAGCTTCAATATCATCCATCTGTAAATATGCCTCTTCCTCTAGTTGCCTCCCCTGTATTTCTTCTTTCACAATAGTGATATTACTATCTTCTAGTTCTCTCCCATGGTTTTCTCTATTCACAAAATTTACAATGCCATCTTCAAGTTGTCTTCCTTGGTCTTCTATTTTCACAATATTTACATGACAATCAGCCAGTTGCCTCGCCTGGTCTTCTACTTTCACAATATTTACATGACAATCTGCCAGTTGTCTCCCCTCATCTCTTCTATTGACAACATTAACAACACTATCAATATCAAATTCACTGAAATTGCCCCACTGGTCACTATCTTCTAAACCTTTTTGCATTGCCATTTGCATCAAACCTTTGATAGGTGAACTATTAGGCTCCTTTTTAATGTTGACAACTGTTTCTTTTTGAACTGGGGAACCAGTCTGGGATCCAGTAATTTCTGTCATAATCATTTCTGTTTCAATGTCTCTGTACGACCTATTGAACTTCCTTGGACAAATCTCACAGTTCCTATTAATAGTATGGACCAAGGAGTCAATGTCAAAGATGTCAGGATGTTCTGTCTTGATCTGGGATGGATCAATCGGCACAACTACTGATTCTCCTTTCCTCCATTCTTTTACTTTTTCTATAAATATCTCTTTCAGAGTTTTTGTTTACATCGGTATTTGCCACCGGAAATGTCGGAGTCATGATACCAGTAACTGAGCTTGTTTCACTGTTCAAGTCATCTTCAGATAGAAATTTTTGATGTCATCTGTGATTTTGGTTGTTCCTTCCTTTTTGTCACTTACATGACTTATTGCCAATTTTTCTCTCCTTATTTTAGATTCTACTGTTTCTATCTTTCCTTTATGTTCTCTTATTTTTGTTTCTGTCTTTCCTTTATGTTCTCTTATTTTTGTTTCTGTCTCTCCCTTTTGTTCTCTTGTTTTTATTTTCACTGTTTCTGTCTTTCCTTTTTCTTCTCTTGTTTTTGTTTCTTTTGTTTCTGTCTTTCTTTTTTGTTCTCTTATTTTTGTTTCTATTGTTTCTGTCTTTCCTTTTTGTTCTCTTGTTTTTGTTTCTAATGTTTCTGTCTTTCCGTTTCCTTCTCTTTTATTTGTTTGGACTGTTTCTGTCTTTCCTTTTTCTTCACCACTTTTTTTTCTTTCCTCTTTGTGCGATTCGATATGTTTGATCAAAATAGACGTTGTATCAAAAGATTGAGTACAAAGTTTACATCCAAATCTTTTACGGCCCAATTTGGTATTATGTACACTGATCATGTGCTTTTCTAATGCTGATTTAGAGCTATGGATTTCTTTACAAAGTTTACATTTCATTGTCAATTCTATAGTATTAGAAGCATTACTTAAGCTTTCCTCCAATTTCTTCGATGGTTCATGCAGTTTTTCTTCCTTTTTATTTTCTTTCTTCTTTACCTCAACAGATATCATTTTAGTCTCAGGTCTTTTTATGGAATCTTTCTTTTCGTCACAGTTTTCAGTTTTGTCATCGTGCTTTGACTTTTTACTGGCAATGTTTTCCTCTTCATTTGCTTTCCTCTTTAGATTTTTTGGTGATTTTATTTGCTTGTCATCATCTCCTTTTTTGGAACCTCTTTTATCAGGAAAATTCTTCTACTTTTTTGGAATTTTCTCCTTTGACTTCTTTATGCTTTTCTGAATTTCCATGTTTATGCTTATCTGATTGTCCATGTTTAGATTTTTCTGAATATCCATGTTTAGATTTTTCTGAATATCTATGTTTATGCTTTTCTGAATTCCCAGGTTTATGCTTCTCTGATTGGCCATGTTAAGGTTTTTCTGAAATTCCATGCGTATGCTTTTCTGAATGCGGATGTTTAGGTTTTTCTGAATGTTTATGTTTGTCTGAATATTCCCGACTGTCATTTTCATGTTTTCTGTCCTGTTTTCTATTTCCATCTGTAGAAGATTTTATATGTCGACTCTCATTATCTGATCTTTCTTTTTCTTTATTCTCTACTGAAATTTTTGTCACTTACTTTCACTTTCAGATTTTTCCTTATGTTTAGGACGAGATTTCTCCTTTCTCCTTTCATTTATAATTTCTAACTTTTTTGTCACTTCTTTGTCAATCTCTTTATCAGTCTCATTTGCTTCCAGATTTTTATCCAACCTTGATAAATTCAGTTTCAAAACTTTGGCTTTATGGTCAATAACAAATTTAGACTTTTTGTGATCTTTTACTTCATCTTTGTCTTGTCTTTTCATGCATTTTGGACCAATTTTGGGTTTCTTTGCAACATTTTTAAAATAAGAAATGTCTCCACTTCTCTTTAAATCATGTCCACTACTGTTCATGTCTTTCTTTCCAGACTCTGCATTTTTCTGTAAATTCAGCAGTTTAGACTGAATGTCTTTATCGGTGTCCAAAACCACAGAACAGTCTTTTAATTTATAGTTTTTTCATTTTTGGTGATAATGATAAAGAGTTATCTCCCTTTTTATTTGGAGATTCACTTCCTTTGTTGTCATCTGTCAATCGCAGGCCAACAATTGTTTTAGGTTAAGCTGACAATGATGGCTGTTGAGAAGCATTGTTCTTCGAAGGACTCAGACTGAATGCGATTTTCTATTTGTATAATGAACAAGAGCTTCAATATCATCCATCTGTAAATATGCCTCTTCCTCTAGTTGCCTCCCCTGTATTTCTTCTTTCACAATAGTGATATTACTATCTTCTAGTTCTCTCCCATGGTTTTCTCTATTCACAAAATTTACAATGCCATCTTCAAGTTGTCTTCCTTGGTCTTCTATTTTCACAATATTTACATGACAATCAGCCAGTTGCCTCCCCTGGTCTTTTACTTTCACAATATTTACATGACAATCTGCCAGTTGTCTCCCCTCGTCTCTTCTATTGACAACATTAACAACACTATCAATATCAAATTCACTGAAATTGCCCCACTGGTCACTATCTTCTAAACCTTTTTGCATTGCCATTTGCATCAAACCTTTGATAGGTGAACTATTAGGCTCCTTTTTAATGTTGACAACTGTTTCTTTTTGAACTGGGGAACCAGTCTGGGATCCAGTAATTTCTGTCATAATCATTTCTGTTTCAATGTCTCTGTACGACCTATTGAACTTCCTTGGACAAATCTCACAGTTCCTATTAATAGTATAGACCAAGGAGTCAATGTCAAAGATGTCAGGATGTTCTGTCTTGATCTGGGATGGATCAATCGGCACAACTACTGATTCTTCGCTCTTTTTCCTTTCCTCCATTCTTTTACTTTTTCTATAAATATCTCTTTCAGAGTTTTTGTTTACATCGGTATTTGCCACCGGAAATGTCGGAGTCATGATACCAGTAACTGAGCTTGTTTCACTGTTCAAGTCATCTTCAGATAGAAATTTTTGATGTCATCTGTGATTTTGGTTGTTCCTTCCTTTTTGTCACTTACATGACTTATTGCCAATTTTTCTCTCCTTATTTTAGATTCTACTGTTTCTATCTTTCCTTTATGTTCTCTTATTTTTGTTTCTGTCTTTCCTTTATGTTCTCTTATTTTTGTTTCTGTCTCTCCCTTTTGTTCTCTTGTTTTTATTTTCACTGTTTCTGTCTTTCCTTTTTCTTCTCTTGTTTTTGTTTCTTTTGTTTCTGTCTTTCTTTTTTGTTCTCTTATTTTTGTTTCTATTGTTTCTGTCTTTCCTTTTTGTTCTCTTGTTTTTGTTTCTAATGTTTCTGTCTTTCCGTTTCCTTCTCTTTTATTTGTTTGGACTGTTTCTGTCTTTCCTTTTTCTTCACCCCTTTTTTTTCTTTCCTCTTTGTGCGATTCGATATGTTTGATCAAAATAGACGTTGTATCAAAAGATTGAGTACAAAGTTTACATCCAAATCTTTTACGGCCCAATTTGGTATTATGTACACTGATCATGTGCTTTTCTAATGCTGATTTAGAGCTATGGATTTCTTTACAAAGTTTACATTTCATTGTCAATTCTATAGTATTAGAAGCATTACTTAAGCTTTCCTCCAATTTCTTCGATGGTTCATGCAGTTTTTCTTCCTTTTTATTTTCTTTCTTCTTTACCTCAACAGATATCATTTTAGTCTCAGGTCTTTTTATGGAATCTTTCTTTTCGTCACAGTTTTCAGTTTTGTCATCGTGCTTTGACTTTTTACTGGCAATGTTTTCCTCTTCATTTGCTTTCCTCTTTAGATTTTTTGGTGATTTTATTTGCTTGTCATCATCTCCTTTTTTGGAACCTCTTTTATCAGGAAAATTCTTGTACTTTTTTGGAATTTTCTCCTTTTTCTTTATGCTTTTCTGAATTTCCATGTTTATGCTTATCTGATTGTCCATGTTTAGATTTTTCTGAATATCCATGTTTAGATTTTTCTGAATATCTATGTTTATGCTTTTCTGAATTCCCAGGTTTATGCTTCTCTGATTGTCCATGTTTAGGTTTTTCTGAAATTCCATGCGTATGCTTTTCTGAATGCGGATGTTTAGGTTTTTCTGAATGTTTATGTTTGTCTGAATATTCCCGACTGTCATTTTCATGTTTTCTGTCCTGTTTTCTATTTCCATCTGTAGAAGATTTTATATGTCGACTCTCATTATCTGATCTTTCTTTTTCTTTATTCTCTACTGAAATTTTTGTCACTTACTTTCACTTTCAGATTTTTATACGACCGCAAAAAAATTTTGTGGTCCTATATTGGTATGACGTTGGCGTCGTCGTCGTCGTTGTCCGGCGTCGCCGTCGTCGTCCGGCGTCGTCGTCCAGCGTCGTCGTCCGAATACACATTGGTTTTCGCACTCTAACTTTAGTTTAAGTGAATGGATCTTTTTGAAATTTGACCATAAGGTTAAATACCACAAAAGGAAGGTTGGGATTGATTTTGGGGGTTATGGTACCAACAGTTAAGGAATTAGGGGCCAAAAAGGGGCCAAAAATAAGCATTTTCTAGTTTCCAGACAATAACTGTGCAACGGTGTATGGATCTCTCTGAAATTATACTACAAGTTTCCATACCACAAAGGGATGGTAAGGATTTGCTTTGGGGGGTTATGGCTCAAACCGTTTAGGAATTTGGGGCAAAAAAGGGGGAAAAACAAGGTTGTCCTGGTTAATGGACAAATACTTTAGTACAAAACATAATTTAAAGCAGTGTAAGGGAGATAAATCAAATACATCATTGAAATTATCTCCCTTACACTGCTTTTAAATTATGTATAAAGTAATGGTTAATGAACAATAAAGATAATTTAAAACAGTGTAAGGGAGGTAATCCAAATACAACGTTTTAGTTACTTCCCTTACACTGCTTTTAAATTATGTTTAAAGAAATGCATATTTATAAAGGAAGACCAGTAAAAATATCTGCAAATGTTGCATCTTTTTTTTTGTTACAAAAAAATCCATATGAAAGATTTGACACTATATTTTTAATTCTATTATAAAATAGATTAAGTTAGCACTATGGTAAATTTAAATGGGTAATTATGGTTGCCAACTCCATTGGAAATTTGAATTGAGATTATGACTATATCTTGAGGGAAAGAATTTTTTGGGGGAAAAAAGGTGGGAGGGGGGGATAAAAAGAAATTGTGGGGGGTCAATTTTTTCTCATTTCAGATTTCAGAAATTAAAAAGAAATATTCTTCAAATACGTATTATTTTTTTTTCAAATTTCAAATATTGAAAAATTTCAAGAAGTAATCTTTAATTGCACAGTATGGCGCATTAGATTTGTAAAATCTTTGACCACATTTATTTATTTGTTATGCCGAATCTAACAGTGTATTTAGATTTTTAATTTTGGGTCCAGTTTTCAAATTGGTCTACATTAAGGTCCAAAGGGTCCAAAATTAAACTTTGTTTGATTTTAGCAAAAATTGAATATATGAGGTTCTTTGATATGCTGAATCTAAACATGTATTTAGATTTTTGATTTTTGGCCCAGTTTTCAAGTTGGTCCAAATTGGGGTCCAAAATTAAACTTTGTTTGATTTCTACAAAAATTGAATATATGGGGTTTTTTGATATGCTGAATCTAACCATGTATTTAGATTTTTTATTTGTGGACCCCGTTATCAAATTGGTTCATATTGAGGTCAAAAGGGTCCAAAATTAAACTTTGTTTGATTTCATCTAAAATTGAATTATTGGGGTTCTTTGATATTCTAAATCTAACCGTGTATTTAGATTTTTAATTTTGGGTCCTGTTTTTTAAATTGGTCTACATTAAGGTTCAAAGGGTCCAAAATTAAACTTAGTTTGATTCTAACAAAAATTGAATTCTTGGGGTTCTTTGATATGCTGAATCTAAACATGTGTTTAGATTTTTGATTATGGGCAAAGTTTTCATGTTTGTCCAAGTTGGGGTCCAAAATTAAACTTTGTTTGATTTTAACAAAAATTGAATATATGGGGTTCTTTGATATGCTGAATCTAACCATGTATTTTGATTTTGGACATTGGACCATAATAGGTAAATTAAAAAAATTGAAGTTCTTAGACCACATTCTTTCTGTGTCAGAAACCTATGCTGTGTCAAATATTTAATAACCATCCAAATTCAGAGCTGTATCAAGCTTGAATGTTGTGTCCATACTTGCCCCAACTGTTCAGGGTTCGACCTCTGCGGTCGTATCAAGCTGCGCCCCAGCGAAGCATTTTATTCCTTATGTTTAGGACGAGATTTCTCCTTTCTCCTTTCATTTATAATTTCTAACTTTTTTGTCACTTCTTTGTCAATCTCTTTATCAGTCTCATTTGCTTCCAGATTTTTATCCAACCTTGATAAATTCAGTTTCAAAACTTTGGCTTTATGGTCAATAACAAATTTAGACTTTTTGTGATCTTTTACTTCATCTTTGTCTTGTCTTTTCATGCATTTTGGACCAATTTTGGGTTTCTTTGCAACATTTTTAAAATAAGAAATGTCTCCACTTCTCTTTAAATCATGTACACTACTGTTCATGTCTTTCTTTCCAGACTGCATTTTTCTGTAAATTCAGCAGTTTAGACTGAATGTCTTTATCGGTGTCCAAAACCACAGAACAGTCTTTTAATTTATAGTTTTTTCATTTTTGGTGATAATGATAAAGAGTTATCTCCCTTTTTATTTGGAGATTCACTTCCTTTGTTGTCATCTGTCAATCGCAGGCCAACAATTGTTTTAGGTTAAGCTGACAATGATGGCTGTTGAGAAGCATTGTTCTTCGAAGGACTGACTGAATGCGATTTTCTATTTGTATAATGAACAAGAGCTTCAATATCATCCATCTGTAAATATGCCTCTTCCTCTAGTTGCCTCCCCTGTATTTCTTCTTTCACAATAGTGATATTACTATCTTCTAGTTCTCTCCCATGGTTTTCTCTATTCACAAAATTTACAATGCCATCTTCAAGTTGTCTTCCTTGGTCTTCTATTTTCACAATATTTACATGACAATCAGCCAGTTGCCTCCCCTGGTCTTCTACTTTCACAATATTTACATGACAATCTGCCAGTTGTCTCCCCTCGTCTCTTCTATTGACAACATTAACAACACTATCAATATCAAATTCACTGAAATTGCCCCACTGGTCACTATCTTCTAAACCTTTTTGCATTGCCATTTGCATCAAACCTTTGATAGGTGAACTATTAGGCTCCTTTTTAATGTTGACAACTGTTTCTTTTTGAACTGGGGAACCAGTCTGGGATCCAGTAATTTCTGTCATAATCATTTCTGTTTCAATGTCTCTGTACGACCTATTGAACTTCCTTGGACAAATCTCACAGTTCCTATTAATAGTATGGACCAAGGAGTCAATGTCAAAGATGTCAGGATGTTCTGTCTTGATCTGGGATGGATCAATCGGCACAACTACTGATTCTTCGCTCTTTTTCCTTTCCTCCAATCTTTTACTTTTTCTATAAATATCTCTTTCAGAGTTTTTGTTTACATCGGTATTTGCCACCGGAAATGTCGGAGTCATGATACCAGTAACTGAGCTTGTTTCACTGTTCAAGTCATCTTCAGATAGAAATTTTTTTGATGTCATCTGTGATTTTGGTTGTTCCTTCCTTTTTGTCACTTACATGACTTATTGCCAATTTTTCTCTCCTTATTTTAGATTCTACTGTTTCTATCTTTCCTTTATGTTCTCTTATTTTTGTTTCTGTCTTTCCTTTATGTTCTCTTATTTTTGTTTCTGTCTCTCCCTTTTGTTCTCTTGTTTTTATTTTCACTGTTTCGGTCTTTCCTTTTTCTTCTCTTGTTTTTGTTTCTTTTGTTTCTGTCTTTCTTTTTTGTTCTCTTATTTTTGTTTCTATTGTTTCTGTCTTTCCTTTTTGTTCTCTTGTTTTTGTTTCTAATGTTTCTGTCTTTCCGTTTCCTTCTCTTTTATTTGTTTGGACTGTTTCTGTCTTTCCTTTTTCTTCACCCCTTTTTTTTCTTTCCTCTTTGTGCGATTCGATATGTTTGATCAAAATAGACGTTGTATCAAAAGATTGAGTACAAAGTTTACATCCAAATCTTTTACGGCCCAATTTGGTATTATGTACACTGATCATGTGCTTTTCTAATGCTGATTTAGAGCTATGGATTTCTTTACAAAGTTTACATTTCATTGTCAATTCTATAGTATTAGAAGCATTACTTAAGCTTTCCTCCAATTTCTTCGATGGTTCATGCAGTTTTTCTTCCTTTTTATTTTCTTTCTTCTTTACCTCAACAGATATCATTTTAGTCTCAGGTCTTTTTATGGAATCTTTCTTTTCGTCACAGATTTCAGTTTTGTCATCGTGCTTTGACTTTTTACTGGCAATGTTTTCCTCTTCATTTGCTTTCCTCTTTAGATTTTTTGGTGATTTTATTTGCTTGTCATCATCTCCTTTTTTGGAACCTCTTTTATCAGGAAAATTCTTGTACTTTTTTGGAATTTTCTCCTTTGACTTCTTTATGCTTTTCTGAATTTCCATGTTTATGCTTATCTGATTGTCCATGTTTAGATTTTTCTGAATATCCATGTTTAGATTTTTCTGAATATCTATGTTTATGCTTTTCTGAATTCCCAGGTTTATGCTTCTCTGATTGTCCATGTTTAGGTTTTTCTGAAATTCCATGCGTATGCTTTTCTGAATGCGGATGTTTAGGTTTTTCTGAATGTTTATGTTTGTCTGAATATTCCCGACTGTCATTTTCATGTTTTCTGTCCTGTTTTCTATTTCCATCTGTAGAAGATTTTATATGTCGACTCTCATTATCTGATCTTTCTTTTTCTTTATTCTCTAGTGAAATTTTTGTCACTTACTTTCACTTTCAGATTTTTCCTTATGTTTAGGACGAGATTTCTCCTTTCTCCTTTCATTTATAATTTCTAACTTTTTTGTCACTTCTTTGTCAATCTCTTTATCAGTCTCATTTGCTTCCAGATTTTTATCCAACCTTGATAAATTCAGTTTCAAAACTTTGGCTTTATGGTCAATAACAAATTTAGACTTTTTGTGATCTTTTACTTCATCTTTGTCTTGTCTTTTCATGCATTTTGGACCAATTTTGGGTTTCTTTGCAACATTTTTAAAATAAGAAATGTCTCCACTTCTCTTTAAATCATGTACACTACTGTTCATGTCTTTCTTTCCAGACTCTGCATTTTTCTGTAAATTCAGCAGTTTAGACTGAATGTCTTTATCGGTGTCCAAAACCACAGAACAGTCTTTTAATTTATAGTTTTTTCATTTTTGGTGATAATGATAAAGAGTTATCTCCCTTTTTATTTGGAGATTCACTTCCTTTGTTGTCATCTGTCAATCGCAGGCCAACAATTGTTTTAGGTTAAGCTGACAATGATGGCTGTTGAGAAGCATTGTTCTTCGAAGGACTGACTGAATGCGATTTTCTATTTGTATAATGAACAAGAGCTTCAATATCATCCATCTGTAAATATGCCTCTTCCTCTAGTTGCCTCCCCTGTATTTCTTCTTTCACAATAGTGATATTACTATCTTCTAGTTCTCTCCCATGGTTTTCTCTATTCACAAAATTTACAATGCCATCTTCAAGTTGTCTTCCTTGGTCTTCTATTTTCACAATATTTACATGACAATCAGCCAGTTGCCTCCCCTGGTCTTCTACTTTCACAATATTTACATGACAATCTGCCAGTTGTCTCCCCTCGTCTCTTCTATTGACAACATTAACAACACTATCAATATCAAATTCACTGAAATTGCCCCACTGGTCACTATCTTCTAAACCTTTTTGCATTGCCATTTGCATCAAACCTTTGATAGGTGAACTATTAGGCTCCTTTTTAATGTTGACAACTGTTTCTTTTTGAACTGGGGAACCAGTCTGGGATCCAGTAATTTCTGTCATAATCATTTCTGTTTCAATGTCTCTGTACGACCTATTGAACTTCCTTGGACAAATCTCACAGTTCCTATTAATAGTATGGACCAAGGAGTCAATGTCAAAGATGTCAGGATGTTCTGTCTTGATCTGGGATGGATCAATCGGCACAACTACTGATTCTTCGCTCTTTTTCCTTTCCTCCAATCTTTTACTTTTTCTATAAATATCTCTTTCAGAGTTTTTGTTTACATCGGTATTTGCCACCGGAAATGTCGGAGTCATGATACCAGTAACTGAGCTTGTTTCACTGTTCAAGTCATCTTCAGATAGAAATTTTTGATGTCATCTGTGATTTTGGTTGTTCCTTCCTTTTTGTCACTTACATGACTTGTTGCCAATTTTTCTCTCCTTATTTTAGATTCTACTGTTTCTATCTTTCCTTTATGTTCTCTTATTTTTGTTTCTGTCTTTCCTTTATGTTCTCTTATTTTTGTTTCTGTCTCTCCCTTTTGTTCTCTTGTTTTTATTTTCACTGTTTCTGTCTTTCCTTTTTCTTCTCTTGTTTTTGTTTCTTTTGTTTCTGTCTTTCTTTTTTGTTCTCTTATTTTTGTTTCTATTGTTTCTGTCTTTCCTTTTTGTTCTCTTGTTTTTGTTTCTAATGTTTCTGTCTTTCCGTTTCCTTCTCTTTTATTTGTTTGGACTGTTTCTGTCTTTCCTTTTTCTTCACCACTTTTTTTTCTTTCCTCTTTGTGCGATTCGATATGTTTGATCAAAATAGACGTTGTATCAAAAGATTGAGTACAAAGTTTACATCCAAATCTTTTACGGCCCAATTTGGTATTATGTACACTGATCATGTGCTTTTCTAATGCTGATTTAGAGCTATGGATTTCTTTACAAAGTTTACATTTCATTGTCAATTCTATAGTATTAGAAGCATTACTTAAGCTTTCCTCCAATTTCTTCGATGGTTCATGCAGTTTTTCTTCCTTTTTATTTTTCTTTCTTCTTTACCTCAACAGATATCATTTTAGTCTCAGGTCTTTTTATGGAATCTTTCTTTTCGTCACAGTTTTCAGTTTTGTCATCTTGCTTTGACTTTTTACTGGCAATGTTTTCCTCTTCATTTGCTTTCCTCTTTAGATTTTTTGGTGATTTTATTTGCTTGTCATCATCTCCTTTTTTGGAACCTCTTTTATCAGGAAAATTCTTGTACTTTTTTGGAATTTTCTCCTTTGACTTCTTTATGCTTTTCTGAATTTCCATGTTTATGCTTATCTGATTGTCCATGTTTAGATTTTTCTGAATATCCATGTTTAGATTTTTCTGAATATCTATGTTTATGCTTTTCTGAATTCCCAGGTTTATGCTCCTCTGATTGTCCATGTTTAGGTTTTTCTGAAATTCCATGCGTATGCTTTTCTGAATGCGGATGTTTAGGTTTTTCTGAATGTTTATGTTTGTCTGAATATTCCCGACTGTCATTTTCATGTTTTCTGTCCTGTTTTCTATTTCCATCTGTAGAAGATTTTATATGTCGACTCTCATTATCTGATCTTTCTTTTTCTTTATTCTCTAGTGAAATTTTTGTCACTTACTTTCACTTTCAGATTTTTCCTTATGTTTAGGACGAGATTTCTCCTTTCTCCTTTCATTTATAATTTCTAACTTTTTTGTCACTTCTTTGTCAATCTCTTTATCAGTCTCATTTGCTTCCAGATTTTTATCCAACCTTGATAAATTCAGTTTCAAAACTTTGGCTTTATGGTCAATAACAAATTTAGACTTTTTGTGATCTTTTACTTCATCTTTGTCTTGTCTTTTCATGCATTTTGGACCAATTTTGGGTTTCTTTGCAACATTTTTAAAATAAGAAATGTCTCCACTTCTCTTTAAATCATGTCCACTACTGTTCATGTCTTTCTTTCCAGACTCTGCATTTTTCTGTAAATTCAGCAGTTTAGACTGAATGTCTTTATCGGTGTCCAAAACCACAGAACAGTCTTTTAATTTATAGTTTTTTCATTTTTGGTGATAATGATAAAGAGTTATCTCCCTTTTTATTTGGAGATTCACTTCCTTTGTTGTCATCTGTCAATCGCAGGCCAACAATTGTTTTAGGTTAAGCTGACAATGATGGCTGTTGAGAAGCATTGTTCTTCGAAGGACTGACTGAATGCGATTTTCTATTTGTATAATGAACAAGAGCTTCAATATCATCCATCTGTAAATAGGCCTCTTCCTCTAGTTGCCTCCCCTGTATTTCTTCTTTCACAATAGTGATATTACTATCTTCTAGTTCTCTCCCATGGTTTTCTCTATTCACAAAATTTACAATGCCATCTTCAAGTTGTCTTCCTTGGTCTTCTATTTTCACAATATTTACATGACAATCAGCCAGTTGCCTCCCCTGGTCTTCTACTTTCACAATATTTACATGACAATCTGCCAGTTGTCTCCCCTCGTCTCTTCTATTGACAACATTAACAACACTATCAATATCAAATTCACTGAAATTGCCCCACTGGTCACTATCTTCTAAACCTTTTTGCATTGCCATTTGCATCAAACCTTTGATAGGTGAACTATTAGGCTCCTTTTTAATGTTGACAACTGTTTCTTTTTGAACTGGGGAACCAGTCTGGGATCCAGTAATTTCTGTCATAATCATTTCTGTTTCAATGTCTCTGTACGACCTATTGAACTTCCTTGGACAAATCTCACAGTTCCTATTAATAGTATGGACCAAGGAGTCAATGTCAAAGATGTCAGGATGTTCTGTCTTGATCTGGGATGGATCAATCGGCACAACTACTGATTCTTCGCTCATTCTCCTTTCCTCCATTCTTTTACTTTTTCTATAAATATCTCTTTCAGAGTTTTTGTTTACATCGGTATTTGCCACCGGAAATGTCGGAGTCATGATACCAGTAACTGAGCTTGTTTCACTGTTCAAGTCATCTTCAGATAGAAATTTTTTTGATGTCATCTGTGATTTTGGTTGTTCCTTCCTTTTTGTCACTTACATGACTTATTGCCAATTTTTCTCTCCTTATTTTAGATTCTACTGTTTCTATCTTTCCTTTATGTTCTCTTATTTTTGTTTCTGTCTTTCCTTTATGTTCTCTTATTTTTGTTTCTGTCTCTCCCTTTTGTTCTCTTGTTTTTATTTTCACTGTTTCTGTCTTTCCTTTTTCTTCTCTTGTTTTTGTTTCTTTTGTTTCTGTCTTTCTTTTTTGTTCTCTTATTTTTGTTTCTATTGTTTCTGTCTTTCCTTTTTGTTCTCTTGTTTTTGTTTCTAATGTTTCTGTCTTTCCGTTTCCTTCTCTTTTATTTGTTTGGACTGTTTCTGTCTTTCCTTTTTCTTCACCACTTTTTTTTCTTTCCTCTTTGTGCGATTCGATATGTTTGATCAAAATAGACGTTGTATCAAAAGATTGAGTACAAAGTTTACATCCAAATCTTTTACGGCCCAATTTGGTATTATGTACACTGATCATGTGCTTTTCTAATGCTGATTTAGAGCTATGGATTTCTTTACAAAGTTTACATTTCATTGTCAATTCTATAGTATTAGAAGCATTACTTAAGCTTTCCTCCAATTTCTTCTATGGTTCATGCAGTTTTTCTTCCTTTTTATTTTCTTTCTTCTTTACCTCAACAGATATCATTTTAGTCTCAGGTCTTTTTATGGAATCTTTCTTTTCGTCACAGTTTTCAGTTTTGTCATCGTGCTTTGACTTTTTACTGGCAATGTTTTCCTCTTCATTTGCTTTCCTCTTTAGATTTTTTGGTGATTTTATTTGCTTGTCATCATCTCCTTTTTTGGAACCTCTTTTATCAGGAAAATTCTTGTACTTTTTTGGAATTTTCTCCTTTGACTTCTTTATGCTTTTCTGAATTTCCATGTTTATGCTTATCTGATTGTCCATGTTTAGATTTTTCTGAATATCCATGTTTAGATTTTTCTGAATATCTATGTTTATGCTTTTCTGAATTCCCAGGTTTATGCTCCTCTGATTGTCCATGTTTAGGTTTTTCTGAAATTCCATGCGTATGCTTTTCTGAATGCGGATGTTTAGGTTTTTCTGAATGTTTATGTTTGTCTGAATATTCCCGACTGTCATTTTCATGTTTTCTGTCCTGTTTTCTATTTCCATCTGTAGAAGATTTTATATGTCGACTCTCATTATCTGATCTTTCTTTTTCTTTATTCTCTAGTGAAATTTTTGTCACTTACTTTCACTTTCAGATTTTTCCTTATGTTTAGGACGAGATTTCTCCTTTCTCCTTTCATTTATAATTTCTAACTTTTTTGTCACTTCTTTGTCAATCTCTTTATCAGTCTCATTTGCTTCCAGATTTTTATCCAACCTTGATAAATTCAGTTTCAAAACTTTGGCTTTATGGTCAATAACAAATTTAGACTTTTTGTGATCTTTTACTTCATCTTTGTCTTGTCTTTTCATGCATTTTGGACCAATTTTGGGTTTCTTTGCAACATTTTTAAAATAAGAAATGTCTCCACTTCTCTTTAAATCATGTCCACTACTGTTCATGTCTTTCTTTCCAGACTCTGCATTTTTCTGTAAATTCAGCAGTTTAGACTGAATGTCTTTATCGGTGTCCAAAACCACAGAACAGTCTTTTAATTTATAGTTTTTTCATTTTTGGTGATAATGATAAAGAGTTATCTCCCTTTTTATTTGGAGATTCACTTCCTTTGTTGTCATCTGTCAATCGCAGGCCAACAATTGTTTTAGGTTAAGCTGACAATGATGGCTGTTGAGAAGCATTGTTCTTCGAAGGACTGACTGAATGCGATTTTCTATTTGTATAATGAACAAGAGCTTCAATATCATCCATCTGTAAATAGGCCTCTTCCTCTAGTTGCCTCCCCTGTATTTCTTCTTTCACAATAGTGATATTACTATCTTCTAGTTCTCTCCCATGGTTTTCTCTATTCACAAAATTTACAATGCCATCTTCAAGTTGTCTTCCTTGGTCTTCTATTTTCACAATATTTACATGACAATCAGCCAGTTGCCTCCCCTGGTCTTCTACTTTCACAATATTTACATGACAATCTGCCAGTTGTCTCCCCTCGTCTCTTCTATTGACAACATTAACAACACTATCAATATCAAATTCACTGAAATTGCCCCACTGGTCACTATCTTCTAAACCTTTTTGCATTGCCATTTGCATCAAACCTTTGATAGGTGAACTATTAGGCTCCTTTTTAATGTTGACAACTGTTTCTTTTTGAACTGGGGAACCAGTCTGGGATCCAGTAATTTCTGTCATAATCATTTCTGTTTCAATGTCTCTGTACGACCTATTGAACTTCCTTGGACAAATCTCACAGTTCCTATTAATAGTATGGACCAAGGAGTCAATGTCAAAGATGTCAGGATGTTCTGTCTTGATCTGGGATGGATCAATCGGCACAACTACTGATTCTTCGCTCATTCTCCTTTCCTCCATTCTTTTACTTTTTCTATAAATATCTCTTTCAGAGTTTTTGTTTACATCGGTATTTGCCACCGGAAATGTCGGAGTCATGATACCAGTAACTGAGCTTGTTTCACTGTTCAAGTCATCTTCAGATAGAAATTTTTTTGATGTCATCTGTGATTTTGGTTGTTCCTTCCTTTTTGTCACTTACATGACTTATTGCCAATTTTTCTCTCCTTATTTTAGATTCTACTGTTTCTATCTTTCCTTTATGTTCTCTTATTTTTGTTTCTGTCTTTCCTTTATGTTCTCTTATTTTTGTTTCTGTCTCTCCCTTTTGTTCTCTTGTTTTTATTTTCACTGTTTCTGTCTTTCCTTTTTCTTCTCTTGTTTTTGTTTCTTTTGTTTCTGTCTTTCTTTTTTGTTCTCTTATTTTTGTTTCTATTGTTTCTGTCTTTCCTTTTTGTTCTCTTGTTTTTGTTTCTAATGTTTCTGTCTTTCCGTTTCCTTCTCTTTTATTTGTTTGGACTGTTTCTGTCTTTCCTTTTTCTTCACCACTTTTTTTTCTTTCCTCTTTGTGCGATTCGATATGTTTGATCAAAATAGACGTTGTATCAAAAGATTGAGTACAAAGTTTACATCCAAATCTTTTACGGCCCAATTTGGTATTATGTACACTGATCATGTGCTTTTCTAATGCTGATTTAGAGCTATGGATTTCTTTACAAAGTTTACATTTCATTGTCAATTCTATAGTATTAGAAGCATTACTTAAGCTTTCCTCCAATTTCTTCTATGGTTCATGCAGTTTTTCTTCCTTTTTATTTTCTTTCTTCTTTACCTCAACAGATATCATTTTAGTCTCAGGTCTTTTTATGGAATCTTTCTTTTCGTCACAGTTTTCAGTTTTGTCATCGTGCTTTGACTTTTTACTGGCAATGTTTTCCTCTTCATTTGCTTTCCTCTTTAGATTTTTTGGTGATTTTATTTGCTTGTCATCATCTCCTTTTTTGGAACCTCTTTTATCAGGAAAATTCTTCTACTTTTTTGGAATTTTCTCCTTTGACTTCTTTATGCTTTTCTGAATTTCCATGTTTATGCTTATCTGATTGTCCATGTTTAGATTTTTCTGAATATCCATGTTTAGATTTTTCTGAATATCTATGTTTATGCTTTTCTGAATTCCCAGGTTTATGCTTCTCTGATTGTCCATGTTTAGGTTTTTCTGAAATTCCATGCGTATGCTTTTCTGAATGCGGATGTTTAGGTTTTTCTGAATGTTTATGTTTGTCTGAATATTCCCGACTGTCATTTTCATGTTTTCTGTCCTGTTTTCTATTTCCATCTGTAGAAGATTTTATATGTCGACTCTCATTATCTGATCTTTCTTTTTCTTTATTCTCTACTGAAATTTTTGGCGGTTTACTTTCACTTTCAGACTTTTTCCTTATGTTTATAGGACGAGATTTCTCCTTTCTCCTTTCATTTTCAATTTCTAACTTTTTTGTCACTTCTTTGTCAATCTCTTTATCAGTCTCATTTGCTTCCAGATTTTTATCCAACCTTGATAAATTCAGTTTCAAAACTTTGGCTTTATGGTCAATAACAAATTTAGACTTTTTGTGATCTTTTACTTTATCTTTGTCTTGTCTTTTCATGCATTTTGGACCAATTTTGGGTTTCTTTGCAACATTTTTAAAATAAGAAATGTCTCCACTTCTCTTTAAATCATGTCCACTACTGTTCATGTCTTTCTTTCCAGACTCTGCATTTTCCTGTAAATTCAGCAGTTTAGACTGAATGTCTTTATCGGTGTCCAAAACCACAGAACAGTCTTTTAATTTATAGTTTTTATACGACCGCAAAAATTAAAAATTTTTTGGTCGTATATTGGTATGACGTTGGCGTCGTCATCGTCTGGCGTCGTCCGGCATCGTCCGAAGACACATTGGTTTTCGCACTCTAACTTTAGTTTAAGTGAATGGATCTCCATGAAATTTTACCATGATGTTCAATACCACGAAAGGAAGGTTGGGATTGATTTTGGGGGTTATGGTACCAACAGTTAAGGAATAAGGGGCCAAAAAGGGGCCAAAAATGAGCATTTTTGTAACTTCCAGACAATAACTTGTGTGTAAGTGTATGGATCTCTCTGACATTGTACTACACGGTTCCATATCACAAAGGGAAGGCTGTAATTGATTTTGGGGGTAATTGCCTCAAAATTTTAGGAATTAGGGGCCAAAAAAGGGGCATAAAACAAGCATTTTTCTAGTTTCATGACAATAACTTGTGTGTAAGTGTTTGGATATTTCTGAAATTGTACTACAAGGTTCCATATCACAAAGGGAAAGCTGGAATTGAGTTTGGGGGGTAATTGCCCGAAACATTTAGGAATTGGGGGCCAAAAAGGGGCCAAAAATAAGCATTTTTCTAGTTTCCAGACAATAACTTGTGTTCAAGTGTATGGATCTCTCTGAAATTGTACTGCAAGGTACCATACCACAAAGGGAAGGCTGGGATTGAGTTTTGGGGTGATGAATCATAAGGGGTTTGGGGGGGGGGGGATTTTTTTTTTTCTTTTTTTTTCTTTTTTTTCCTTTTTTTTTTCTTTTAAAATTTTCCATTTTAAGTTGGTTATTTCTGATTAATATTTAAAAGTAAATAATAATGATATGGTAGGAGATACACACCAAACAGGATGTGTAAATTATTATATAATAAGTATTGTGCAATAGCAAGAAATTTTCAATTGCACAGTATTGCACAATAGCAAGAAATCTTCAATTGCACAGTATTGCGCAATAGCAAGAAATCTTCAATTGCACAGTATTGCGCAATAGCAAGAAATATCCAATAGCACAATATTGCGCAATAGCAAGAAATTGTCAATTGTACAGTATTGTGCAAAAGAAGATACTTCGTATAAATTGCTTATTTCTTGATCAATTTCAATGGGGTTTTATTCTTGAATTCTTGGGGTTCTTTAATATGCTGAATCTAATCGTGTATTAAGTTTTTGGATTTTGGGCCCCGTTTTTAAATTGGTCCACATTGAGGTCCAAAGGGTCCAAAATTAAACTTTGTTTGATTTCATCAAAAATTGAATTATTGGGGTTCTTTGATATGCCGAATCTAACCGTGTATTTAGATTCTTAATTTTTGGTTCCGTTTTCAAATTGGTCTACATTAAGGTCCAAAGGGTCCAAAATTAAACTTAGTTTGATTTTAACAAAAAATTGAATTATTAGGGTTCTTTGATATGCTGAATCTAAACATGTATTTAGATTTTTGATTATGGGCCCAGTTTTCAAGTTGGTCCAAATCGGGGTCCAAAATTAAACTTTGTTTGATTTCAACAAAAATTGAATATATGGGGTTCTTTGATATGCTGAATCTAACCATGTATTTAGATTTTTGATTTTTGGGCCCCGTTTTCAACTTTGTCCACATTGAGGTCAAAAGGGTCCAAAATTAAACTTTGTTTGATTTCATCAAAAATTGAATTCTTGGGGTTCTTTGATATGCTGAATCTTTCCATGTATTTAGATTTTGGATATTGGACCATAATAGGTGAATGTCCAATTTAAAAATTTTTAAGTTCTTAGACCACATTCATTCTGTGTCAGAAACCTATGCTGTGTCAAATATTTAATCACAATCCAAATTCAGAGCTGTATCAAGCTTGAATGTTGTGTCCATACTTGCCCCAACTGTTCAGGGTTCGACCTCTGCGGTCGTATCAAGCTGCGCCCTGCGGAGCATTTTATTTCATTTTTGGTGATAATGATAAAGAGTTTTCTCCCTTTTTATTTGGAGATTCACTTCCTTTGTTGTCATCTGTCAATCGCAGGCCAACAATTGTTTTAGGTTAAGCTGACAATGATGGCTGTTGAGAAGCATTGTTCTTCGAAGGACTGACTGAATGCGATTTTCTATTTGTATAATGAACAAGAGCTTCAATATCATCCATCTGTAAATATGCCTCTTCCTCTAGTTGCCTCCCCTGTATTTCTTCTTTCACAATAGTGATATTACTATCTTCTAGTTCTCTCCCATGGTTTTCTCTATTCACAAAATTTACAATGCCATCTTCAAGTTGTCTTCCTTGGTCTTCTATTTTCACAATATTTACATGACAATCAGCCAGTTGCCTCCCCTGGTCTTCTACTTTCACAATATTTACATGACAATCTGCCAGTTGTCTCCCCTCGTCTCTTCTATTGACAACATTAACAACACTATCAATATCAAATTCACTGAAATCGCCCCACTGGTCACTATCTTCTAAACCTTTTTGCATTGCCATTTGCATCAAACCTTTGATAGGTGAACTATTAGGCTCCTTTTTAATGTTGACAACTGTTTCTTTTTGAACTGGGGAACCAGTCTGGGATCCAGTAATTTCTGTCATAATCATTTCTGTTTCAATGTCTCTGTACGACCTATTGAACTTCCTTGGACAAATCTCACAGTTCCTATTAATAGTATGGACCAAGGAGTCAATGTCAAAGATGTCAGGATGTTCTGTCTTGATCTGGGATGGATCAATCGGCACAACTACTGATTCTCCTTTCCTCCATTCTTTTACTTTTTCTATAAATATCTCTTTCAGAGTTTTTGTTTACATCGGTATTTGCAACCGGAAATGTCGGAGTCATGATACCAGTAACTGAGCTTGTTTCACTGTTCAAGTCATCTTCAGATAGAAATTTTTTTGATGTCATCTGTGATTTTGGTTGTTCCTTCCTTTTTGTCACTTACATGACTTATTGCCAATTTTTCTCTCCTTATTTTAGATTCTACCGTTTCTATCTTTCCTTTATGTTCTCTTATTTTTGTTTCTGTCTTTCCTTTATGTTCTCTTATTTTTGTTTCTGTCTCTCCCTTTTGTTCTCTTGTTTTTATTTTCACTGTTTCTGTCTTTCCTTTTTCTTCTCTTGTTTATGTTTCTTTTGTTTCTGTCTTTCTTTTTTGTTCTCTTATTTTTGTTTCTATTGTTTCTGTCTTTCCTTTTTGTTCTCTTGTTTTTGTTTCTAATGTTTCTGTCTTTCCTTTTCCTTCTCTTTTATTTGTTTGGACTGTTTCTGTCTTTCCTTTTTCTTCACTTTTTTTTCTTTCCTCTTTGTGCGATTCGATATGTTTGATCAAAATAGACGTTGTATCAAAAGATTGAGTACAAAGTTTACATCCAAATCTTTTACGGCCCAATTTGGTATTATGTACACTGATCATGTGCTTTTCTAATGCTGATTTAGAGCTATGGATTTCTTTACAAAGTTTACATTTCATTGTCAATTCTATAGTATTAGAAGCATTACTTAAGCTTTCCTCCAATTTCTTCGATGGTTCATGCAGTTTTTCTTCCTTTTTATTTTCTTTCTTCTTTACCTCAACAGATATCATTTTAGTCTCAGGTCTTTTTATGGAATCTTTCTTTTTGTCACAGTTTTCAGTTTTGTCATCTTGCTTTGACTTTTTACTGGCAATGTTTTCCTCTTCATTTGCTTGTCATCATCTCCTTTTTTGGAACCACTTTTATCAGGAAAATTCTTGTACTTTTCAGAATTTTCTCCTTTGACTTCTTTATGCTTTTCTGAATTTCCATGTTTATGCTTATTTGATTGTCCATGTTAAGATTTTTCTGAATATCCATGTTTATGCTTTTCTGAATTCCCAGGTTTATGCTTCTCTGATTGTCCATGTTTAGGTTTTTCTGAAATTCCATGCGTATGCTTTCCTGAATGCGGATGTTTAGGTTTTTCTGAATGTTTATGTTTGTCTGAATATTCCCGACTGTCATTTTCATGTTTTCTGTCCTGTTTTCTATTTCCATCTGTAGAAGATTTTATATGTCGACTCTCATTATCTGATCTTTCCTTTTCTTTATTCTCTACTGAAATTTTTGTCGGTTTACTTTCACTTTCAGATTTTTCCTTATGTTTATAGGACGAGATTTCTCCTTTCTCCTTTCATTTTCAATTTCTAACTTTTTTGTCACTTCTTTGTCAATCTCTTTATCAGTCTCATTTGCTTTCCTCTTTACATTTTTTGATGATTTCATTTGCTTGTCATCATCTCCTTTTTTGGAACCACTTTTATCAGGAAAATTCTTGTACTTTTCAGAATTTTCTCCTTTGACTTCTTTATGCTTTTCTGAATTTCCATGTTTATGCTTATCTGATTGTCCATGTTTCATGTTCAGATTTTTCTGAATATCCATGTTTATGCTTTTCTGCATTCCCAGGTTTATGCTTCTCTGATTGTCCATGTTTAGGTTTTTCTGAAATTCCATGTGTATGCTTTCCTGAATGCGGATGTTTATGTTTTTCAGAATGTTTATGTTTGTCTGAATATTCCCGACTGTCATTTTCATGTTTTCTGTCCTATTTTCTATTTCCATCTGTAGAAGATTTTTTATGTCGACTCTCATTTTTTTATCTTTCTTTTTCTTTATTCTCTAGTGAAATTTTTGTCGGTTTACTTTCACTTTCAGATTTTTCCTCATGTTTAGGACGAGATTTCTCCTTTCTCCTTTCATTTTCAATTTCTAACTTTTTTGTCACTTCTTTTTCAATCTCTTTATCAGTCTCATTTGCTTCCAGATTTTTATCCAACCTTGATAAATTCAGTTTCAAAACTTTGGCTTTGTGGTCAATAACAAATTTAGACTTTTTGTGATCTTTTACTTCATCTTTGTCTTGTCTTTTCATGCATTTTGGACCAATTTTGGGTTTCTTTGCAACATTCTTAAAATAAGAAATGTCTCCACTTCTCTTTAAACATGTACACTACTGTTCATGTCTTCCTTTCCAGACTCTGCATTTTTCTGTTAATTCAGCAGTTTAGACTGAATGTCTTTATCGGTGTCCAAAACCACAGAACAGTCTTTTAATTTATAGTTCTTTTTCATTTGTGGTGATAATGATAAAGAGTAATCTCCCTTTTTATTTGGAGATTTACTTCCTTTGTTGTCATCTGTCAGTCGCAGGCCAACAATTGTTTTAGGTTTAGCTGACAATGATGGCTGTTGAGAAGCATTGTTCTTCGAAGGACTGACTGAATGCGATTTTCTATTTGTATAATGAACAAGAGCTTCAATATCATCCATCTGTAAATATTCCTCTTCCTCTAGTTGCCTCCCCTGTATTTCTTCTTTCACAATAGTGATATTACTATCTTCTAGTTCTCTCCCATGGTTTTCTCTATTCACAAAATTTACAATGCCATCTTCAAGTTGCCTTCCTTGGTCTTCTATTTTCACAATATTTACATGACAATCAGCCAGTTGCCTCCCCTGGTCTTCTACTTTCACAATATTTACATGACAATCTGCCAGTTGTCTCCCCTCGTCTCTTCTATTGACAACATTAACAACACTATCAATATCAAATTCACTGAAATTGCCCCACTGGTCACTATCTTCTAAACCTTTTTGCATTGCCATTTGCATCAAACCTTTGATAGGTGAACTATTAGGCTCCTTTTTAATGTTGACAACTGTTTCTTTTTGAACTGGGGAACCAGTCTGGGATCCAGTAATTTCTGTCATAATCATTTCTGTTTCAATGTCTCTGTACGACCTATTGAACTTCCTTGGACAAATCTCAGAGTTCCTATCAATAGTATGGACCAAGGAGTCAATGTCGAAGATGTCAGGATGTTCTGTCTTGATCTGGGATGGATCAATCGGCACGACTACTGACTCTTCGCTCTTTTTCCTTTCCTCCATTCTTTTACTTTTTCTATAAACATCTCTTTCAGAGTTTTTGTTTACATCGGTATTTTCCACGGGAAATGTCGGAGTCATGATAACTGAGCTTGTTTCACTGTTCAAGTCATCTTCAGATAGAAATTTATGATGTCATCTGTGATTTTGGTTGTTCCTTGCTTTTTGTAACTTACATGACTTATTGCCAATTTTTTTCTCCTTATTTTAGATTCTACTGTTTCTATCTTTCCTTTATGTTCTCTTATTTTTGTTTCTGTCTTTCCTTTATGTTCTCTTATTTTTGTTTCTGTCTCTCCCTTTTGTTCTCTTGTTTTTATTTTCACTGTTTCTGTCTTTCCTTTTTCTTCTCTTGTTTATGTTTCTTTTGTTTCTGTCTTTCTTTTTTGTTCTCTTATTTTTGTTTCTATTGTTTCTGTCTTTCCTTTTTGTTCTCTTGTTTTTGTTTCTAATGTTTCTGTCTTTCCTTTTCCTTCTCTTTTATTTGTTTGGACTGTTTCTGTCTTTCCTTTTTCTTCACTTTTTTTTCTTTCCTCTTTGTGCGATTCGATATGTTTGATCAAAATAGACGTTGTATCAAAAGATTGAGTACAAAGTTTACATCCAAATCTTTTACGGCCCAATTTGGTATTATGTACACTGATCATGTGCTTTTCTAATGCTGATTTAGAGCTATGGATTTCTTTACAAAGTTTACATTTCATTGTCAATTCTATAGTATTAGAAGCATTACTTAAGCTTTCCTCCAATTTCTTCGATGGTTCATGCAGTTTTTCTTCCTTTTTATTTTCTTTCTTCTTTACCTCAACAGATATCATTTCAGTCTCAGGTCTTTTTATGGAATCTTTCTTTTTGTCACAGTTTTCAGTTTTGTCATCTTGCTTTGACTTTTTACTGGCAATGTTTTCCTCTTCATTTGCTTGTCATCATCTCCTTTTTTGGAACAACTTTTATCAGGAAAATTCTTGTACTTTTCAGAATTTTCTCCTTTGACTTCTTTATGCTTTTCTGAATTTCCATGTTTATGCTTATTTGATTGTCCATGTTAAGATTTTTCTGAATATCCATGTTCAGATTTTTCTGAATATCCATGTTTATGCTTTTCTGAATTCCCAGGTTTATGCTTCTCTGATTGTCCATGTTTAGGTTTTTCTGAAATTCCATGCGTATGCTTTCCTGAATGCGGATGTTTAGGTTTTTCTGAATGTTTATGTTTGTCTGAATATTCCCGACTGTCATTTTCATGTTTTCTGTCCTGTTTTCTATTTCCATCTGTAGAAGATTTTATATGTCGACTCTCATTATCTGATCTTTCCTTTTCTTTATTCTCTACTGAAATTTTTGTCGGTTTACTTTCACTTTCAGATTTTTCCTTATGTTTATAGGACGAGATTTCTCCTTTCTCCTTTCATTTTCAATTTCTAACTTTTTTGTCACTTCTTTGTCAATCTCTTTATCAGTCTCATTTGCTTTCCTCTTTACATTTTTTGATGATTTCATTTGCTTGTCATCATCTCCTTTTTTGGAACCACTTTTATCAGGAAAATTCTTGTACTTTTCAGAATTTTCTCCTTTGACTTCTTTATGCTTTTCTGAATTTCCATGTTTATGCTTATCTGATTGTCCATGTTTAGATTTTTCTGAATATCCATGTTCAGATTTTTCTGAATATCCATGTTTATGCTTTTCTGCATTCCCAGGTTTATGCTTCTCTGATTGTCCATGTTTAGGTTTTTCTGAAATTCCATGTGTATGCTTTCCTGAATGCGGATGTTTATGTTTTTCAGAATGTTTATGTTTGTCTGAATATTCCTGACTGTCATTTTCATGTTTTTTGTCCTATTTTCTATTTCCATCTGTAGAAGATTTTTTATGTCGACTCTCATTTTTTTATCTTTCTTTTTCTTTATTCTCTAGTGAAATTTTTGTCGGTTTACTTTCACTTTCAGATTTTTCCTCATGTTTAGGACGAGATTTCTCCTTTCTCCTTTCATTTTCAATTTCTAACTTTTTTGTCACTTCTTTTTCAATCTCTTTATCAGTCTCATTTGCTTCCAGATTTTTATCCAACCTTGATAAATTCAGTTTCAAAACTTTGGCTTTGTGGTCAATAACAAATTTAGACTTTTTGTGATCTTTTACTTCATCTTTGTCTTGTCTTTTCATGCATTTTGGACCAATTTTGGGTTTCTTTGCAACATTCTTAAAATAAGAAATGTCTCCACTTCTCTTTAAACATGTACACTACTGTTCATGTCTTCCTTTCCAGACTCTGCATTTTTCTGTTAATTCAGCAGTTTAGACTGAATGTCTTTATCGGTGTCCAAAACCACAGAACAGTCTTTTAATTTATAGTTCTTTTTCATTTGTGGTGATAATGATAAAGAGTAATCTCCCTTTTTATTTGGAGATTTACTTCCTTTGTTGTCATCTGTCAGTCGCAGGCCAACAATTGTTTTAGGTTTAGCTGACAATGATGGCTGTTGAGAAGCATTGTTCTTCGAAGGACTGACTGAATGCGATTTTCTATTTGTATAATGAACAAGAGCTTCAATATCATCCATCTGTAAATATTCCTCTTCCTCTAGTTGCCTCCCCTGTATTTCTTCTTTCACAATAGTGATATTACTATCTTCTAGTTCTCTCCCATGGTTTTCTCTATTCACAAAATTTACAATGCCATCTTCAAGTTGCCTTCCTTGGTCTTCTATTTTCTCAATATTTACATGACAATCAGCCAGTTGCCTCCCCTGGTCTTCTACTTTCACAATATTTACATGACAATCTGCCAGTTGTCTCCCCTCGTCTCTTCTATTGACAACATTAACAACACTATCAATATCAAATTCACTGAAATTGCCCCACTGGTCACTATCTTCTAAACCTTTTTGCATTGCCATTTGCATCAAACCTTTGATAGGTGAACTATTAGGCTCCTTTTTAATGTTGACAACTGTTTCTTTTTGAACTGGGGAACCAGTCTGGGATCCAGTAATTTCTGTCATAATCATTTCTGTTTCAATGTCTCTGTACGACCTATTGAACTTCCTTGGACAAATCTCAGAGTTCCTATCAATAGTATGGACCAAGGAGTCAATGTCGAAGATGTCAGGATGTTCTGTCTTGATCTGGGATGGATCAATCGGCACGACTACTGACTCTTCGCTCTTTTTCCTTTCCTCCATTCTTTTACTTTTTCTATAAACATCTCTTTCAGAGTTTTTGTTTACATCGGTATTTTCCATGGGAAATGTCGGAGTCATGATAACTGAGCTTGTTTCACTGTTCAAGTCATCTTCAGATAGAAATTTATGATGTCATCTGTGATTTTGGTTGTTCCTTGCTTTTTGTAACTTACATGACTTATTGCCAATTTTTTTCTCCTTATTTTAGATTCTACTGTTTCTATCTTTCCTTTATGTTCTCTTATTTTTGTTTCTGTCTTTCCTTTATGTTCTCTTATTTTTGTTTCTGTCTCTCCCTTTTGTTCTCTTGTTTTTATTTTCACTGTTTCTGTCTTTCCTTTTTCTTCTCTTGTTTATGTTTCTTTTGTTTCTGTCTTTCTTTTTTGTTCTCTTATTTTTGTTTCTATTGTTTCTGTCTTTCCTTTTTGTTCTCTTGTTTTTGTTTCTAATGTTTCTGTCTTTCCTTTTCCTTCTCTTTTATTTGTTTGGACTGTTTCTGTCTTTCCTTTTTCTTCACTTTTTTTTCTTTCCTCTTTGTGCGATTCGATATGTTTGATCAAAATAGACGTTGTATCAAAAGATTGAGTACAAAGTTTACATCCAAATCTTTTACGGCCCAATTTGGTATTATGTACACTGATCATGTGCTTTTCTAATGCTGATTTAGAGCTATGGATTTCTTTACAAAGTTTACATTTCATTGTCAATTCTATAGTATTAGAAGCATTACTTAAGCTTTCCTCCAATTTCTTCGATGGTTCATGCAGTTTTTCTTCCTTTTCATTTTCTTTCTTCTTTACCTCAACAGATATCATTTCAGTCTCAGGTCTTTTTATGGAATCTTTCTTTTTGTCACAGTTTTCAGTTTTGTCATCTTGCTTTGACTTTTTACTGGCAATGTTTTCCTCTTCATTTGCTTGTCATCATCTCCTTTTTTGGAACCACTTTTATCAGGAAAATTCTTGTACTTTTCAGAATTTTCTCCTTTGACTTCTTTATGCTTTTCTGAATTTCCATGTTTATGCTTATTTGATTGTCCATGTTAAGATTTTTCTGAATATCCATGTTCAGATTTTTCTGAATATCCATGTTTATGCTTTTCTGAATTCCCAGGTTTATGCTTCTCTGATTGTCCATGTTTAGGTTTTTCTGAAATTCCATGCGTATGCTTTCCTGAATGCGGATGTTTAGGTTTTTCTGAATGTTTATGTTTGTCTGAATATTCCCGACTGTCATTTTCATGTTTTCTGTCCTGTTTTCTATTTCCATCTGTAGAAGATTTTATATGTCGACTCTCATTATCTGATCTTTCCTTTTCTTTATTCTCTACTGAAATTTTTGTCGGTTTACTTTCACTTTCAGATTTTTCCTTATGTTTATAGGACGAGATTTCTCCTTTCTCCTTTCATTTTCAATTTCTAACTTTTTTGTCACTTCTTTGTCAATCTCTTTATCAGTCTCATTTGCTTTCCTCTTTACATTTTTTGATGATTTCATTTGCTTGTCATCATCTCCTTTTTTGGAACCACTTTTATCAGGAAAATTCTTGTACTTTTCAGAATTTTCTCCTTTGACTTCTTTATGCTTTTCTGAATTTCCATGTTTATGCTTATCTGATTGTCCATGTTTAGATTTTTCTGAATATCCATGTTCAGATTTTTCTGAATATCCATGTTTATGCTTTTCTGCATTCCCAGGTTTATGCTTCTCTGATTGTCCATGTTTAGGTTTTTCTGAAATTCCATGTGTATGCTTTCCTGAATGCGGATGTTTATGTTTTTCAGAATGTTTATGTTTGTCTGAATATTCCTGACTGTCATTTTCATGTTTTTTGTCCTATTTTCTATTTCCATCTGTAGAAGATTTTTTATGTCGACTCTCATTTTTTTATCTTTCTTTTTCTTTATTCTCTAGTGAAATTTTTGTCGGTTTACTTTCACTTTCAGATTTTTCCTCATGTTTAGGACGAGATTTCTCCTTTCTCCTTTCATTTTCAATTTCTAACTTTTTTGTCACTTCTTTTTCAATCTCTTTATCAGTCTCATTTGCTTCCAGATTTTTATCCAACCTTGATAAATTCAGTTTCAAAACTTTGGCTTTGTGGTCAATAACATATTTAGACTTTTTGTGATCTTTTACTTCATCTTTGTCTTGTCTTTTCATGCATTTTGGACCAATTTTGGGTTTCTTTGCAACATTCTTAAAATAAGAAATGTCTCCACTTCTCTTTAAACATGTACACTACTGTTCATGTCTTCCTTTCCAGACTCTGCATTTTTCTGTTAATTCAGCAGTTTAGACTGAATGTCTTTATCGGTGTCCAAAACCACAGAACAGTCTTTTAATTTATAGTTCTTTTTCATTTGTGGTGATAATGATAAAGAGTAATCTCCCTTTTTATTTGGAGATTTACTTCCTTTGTTGTCATCTGTCAGTCGCAGGCCAACAATTGTTTTAGGTTTAGCTGACAATGATGGCTGTTGAGAAGCATTGTTCTTCGAAGGACTGACTGAATGCGATTTTCTATTTGTATAATGAACAAGAGCTTCAATATCATCCATCTGTAAATATTCCTCTTCCTCTAGTTGCCTCCCCTGTATTTCTTCTTTCACAATAGTGATATTACTATCTTCTAGTTCTCTCCCATGGTTTTCTCTATTCACAAAATTTACAATGCCATCTTCAAGTTGCCTTCCTTGGTCTTCTATTTTCACAATATTTACATGACAATCAGCCAGTTGCCTCCCCTGGTCTTCTACTTTCACAATATTTACATGACAATCTGCCAGTTGTCTCCCCTCGTCTCTTCTATTGACAACATTAACAACACTATCAATATCAAATTCACTGAAATTGCCCCACTGGTCACTATCTTCTAAACCTTTTTGCATTGCCATTTGCATCAAACCTTTGATAGGTGAACTATTAGGCTCCTTTTTAATGTTGACAACTGTTTCTTTTTGAACTGGGGAACCAGTCTGGGATCCAGTAATTTCTGTCATAATCATTTCTGTTTCAATGTCTCTGTACGACCTATTGAACTTCCTTGGACAAATCTCAGAGTTCCTATCAATAGTATGGACCAAGGAGTCAATGTCGAAGATGTCAGGATGTTCTGTCTTGATCTGGGATGGATCAATCGGCACGACTACTGACTCTTCGCTCTTTTTCCTTTCCTCCATTCTTTTACTTTTTCTATAAACATCTCTTTCAGAGTTTTTGTTTACATCGGTATTTTCCATGGGAAATGTCGGAGTCATGATAACTGAGCTTGTTTCACTGTTCAAGTCATCTTCAGATAGAAATTTATGATGTCATCTGTGATTTTGGTTGTTCCTTGCTTTTTGTAACTTACATGACTTATTGCCAATTTTTTTCTCCTTATTTTAGATTCTACTGTTTCTATCTTTCCTTTATGTTCTCTTATTTTTGTTTCTGTCTTTCCTTTATGTTCTCTTATTTTTGTTTCTGTCTCTCCCTTTTGTTCTCTTGTTTTTATTTTCACTGTTTCTGTCTTTCCTTTTTCTTCTCTTGTTTATGTTTCTTTTGTTTCTGTCTTTCTTTTTTGTTCTCTTATTTTTGTTTCTATTGTTTCTGTCTTTCCTTTTTGTTCTCTTGTTTTTGTTTCTAATGTTTCTGTCTTTCCTTTTCCTTCTCTTTTATTTGTTTGGACTGTTTCTGTCTTTCCTTTTTCTTCACTTTTTTTTCTTTCCTCTTTGTGCGATTCGATATGTTTGATCAAAATAGACGTTGTATCAAAAGATTGAGTACAAAGTTTACATCCAAATCTTTTACGGCCCAATTTGGTATTATGTACACTGATCATGTGCTTTTCTAATGCTGATTTAGAGCTATGGATTTCTTTACAAAGTTTACATTTCATTGTCAATTCTATAGTATTAGAAGCATTACTTAAGCTTTCCTCCAATTTCTTCGATGGTTCATGCAGTTTTTCTTCCTTTTCATTTTCTTTCTTCTTTACCTCAACAGATATCATTTCAGTCTCAGGTCTTTTTATGGAATCTTTCTTTTTGTCACAGTTTTCAGTTTTGTCATCTTGCTTTGACTTTTTACTGGCAATGTTTTCCTCTTCATTTGCTTGTCATCATCTCCTTTTTTGGAACCACTTTTATCAGGAAAATTCTTGTACTTTTCAGAATTTTCTCCTTTGACTTCTTTATGCTTTTCTGAATTTCCATGTTTATGCTTATTTGATTGTCCATGTTAAGATTTTTCTGAATATCCATGTTCAGATTTTTCTGAATATCCATGTTTATGCTTTTCTGAATTCCCAGGTTTATGCTTCTCTGATTGTCCATGTTTAGGTTTTTCTGAAATTCCATGCGTATGCTTTCCTGAATGCGGATGTTTAGGTTTTTCTGAATGTTTATGTTTGTCTGAATATTCCCGACTGTCATTTTCATGTTTTCTGTCCTGTTTTCTATTTCCATCTGTAGAAGATTTTATATGTCGACTCTCATTATCTGATCTTTCCTTTTCTTTATTCTCTACTGAAATTTTTGTCGGTTTACTTTCACTTTCAGATTTTTCCTTATGTTTATAGGACGAGATTTCTCCTTTCTCCTTTCATTTTCAATTTCTAACTTTTTTGTCACTTCTTTGTCAATCTCTTTATCAGTCTCATTTGCTTTCCTCTTTACATTTTTTGATGATTTCATTTGCTTGTCATCATCTCCTTTTTTGGAACCACTTTTATCAGGAAAATTCTTGTACTTTTCAGAATTTTCTCCTTTGACTTCTTTATGCTTTTCTGAATTTCCATGTTTATGCTTATCTGATTGTCCATGTTTAGATTTTTCTGAATATCCATGTTCAGATTTTTCTGAATATCCATGTTTATGCTTTTCTGCATTCCCAGGTTTATGCTTCTCTGATTGTCCATGTTTAGGTTTTTCTGAAATTCCATGTGTATGCTTTCCTGAATGCGGATGTTTATGTTTTTCAGAATGTTTATGTTTGTCTGAATATTCCTGACTGTCATTTTCATGTTTTTTGTCCTATTTTCTATTTCCATCTGTAGAAGATTTTTTATGTCGACTCTCATTTTTTTATCTTTCTTTTTCTTTATTCTCTAGTGAAATTTTTGTCGGTTTACTTTCACTTTCAGATTTTTCCTCATGTTTAGGACGAGATTTCTCCTTTCTCCTTTCATTTTCAATTTCTAACTTTTTTGTCACTTCTTTTTCAATCTCTTTATCAGTCTCATTTGCTTCCAGATTTTTATCCAACCTTGATAAATTCAGTTTCAAAACTTTGGCTTTGTGGTCAATAACATATTTAGACTTTTTGTGATCTTTTACTTCATCTTTGTCTTGTCTTTTCATGCATTTTGGACCAATTTTGGGTTTCTTTGCAACATTCTTAAAATAAGAAATGTCTCCACTTCTTTAAACATGTACACTACTGTTCATGTCTTCCTTTCCAGACTCTGCATTTTTCTGTTAATTCAGCAGTTTAGACTGAATGTCTTTATCGGTGTCCAAAACCACAGAACAGTCTTTTAATTTATAGTTCTTTTTCATTTGTGGTGATAATGATAAAGAGTAATCTCCCTTTTTATTTGGAGATTTACTTCCTTTGTTGTCATCTGTCAGTCGCAGGCCAACAATTGTTTTAGGTTTAGCTGACAATGATGGCTGTTGAGAAGCATTGTTCTTCGAAGGACTGACTGAATGCGATTTTCTATTTGTATAATGAACAAGAGCTTCAATATCATCCATCTGTAAATATTCCTCTTCCTCTAGTTGCCTCCCCTGTATTTCTTCTTTCACAATAGTGATATTACTATCTTCTAGTTCTCTCCCATGGTTTTCTCTATTCACAAAATTTACAATGCCATCTTCAAGTTGCCTTCCTTGGTCTTCTATTTTCACAATATTTACATGACAATCAGCCAGTTGCCTCCCCTGGTCTTCTACTTTCACAATATTTACATGACAATCTGCCAGTTGTCTCCCCTCGTCTCTTCTATTGACAACATTAACAACACTATCAATATCAAATTCACTGAAATTGCCCCACTGGTCACTATCTTCTAAACCTTTTTGCATTGCCATTTGCATCAAACCTTTGATAGGTGAACTATTAGGCTCCTTTTTAATGTTGACAACTGTTTCTTTTTGAACTGGGGAACCAGTCTGGGATCCAGTAATTTCTGTCATAATCATTTCTGTTTCAATGTCTCTGTACGACCTATTGAACTTCCTTGGACAAATCTCAGAGTTCCTATCAATAGTATGGACCAAGGAGTCAATGTCGAAGATGTCAGGATGTTCTGTCTTGATCTGGGATGGATCAATCGGCACGACTACTGACTCTTCGCTCTTTTTCCTTTCCTCCATTCTTTTACTTTTTCTATAAACATCTCTTTCAGAGTTTTTGTTTACATCGGTATTTTCCACGGGAAATGTCGGAGTCATGATAACTGAGCTTGTTTCACTGTTCAAGTCATCTTCAGATAGAAATTTATGATGTTATCTGTGATTTTGGTTGTTCCTTGCTTTTTGTAACTTACATGACTTATTGCCAATTTTTTTCTCCTTATTTTAGATTCTACTGTTTCTATCTTTCCTTTATGTTCTCTTATTTTTGTTTCTGTCTTTCCTTTATGTTCTCTTATTTTTGTTTCTGTCTCTCCCTTTTGATCTCTTGTTTTTATCTTCACTGTTTCTGTCTTTCCTTTTTGTTCTCTTGTTTTTGTTTCTTTTGTTTCTGTCTTTCCTTTTTGTTCTCTTATTTTTTTTTCTATTGCTTCTGTCTTTCCTTTTTGTTCTCTTGTTTTTGTTTCTAATGTTTCTGTCTTTCCTTTTCCTTCTCTTTTATTTGTTTGGACTGTTTCTGTCTTTCCTTTTTCTTCACTTTTTTTTCTTTCCTCTTTGTGCGATTCGATATGTTTGATCAAAATAGACGTTGTATCAAAAGATTGAGTACAAAGTTTACATCCAAATCTTTTACGGCCCAATTTGGTATTATGTACACTGATCATGTGCTTTTCTAATGCTGATTTAGAGCTATGGATTTCTTTACAAATTTTACATTTCATTGTCAATTCTATAGTATTAGAAGCATTACTTAAGCTTTCCTCCAATTTCTTCTATGGTTCATGCAGTTTTTCTTCCTTTTTATTTTCTTTCTTCTTTACCTCAACAGATATCATTTCAGTCTCATCTATTTTTATGGAATCTTTCTTTTTGTCACAGTTTTCAGTTTTGTCATCGTGCTTTGACTTTTTACTGGCAATGTTTTCCTCTTCATTTGCTTGTCATCATCTCCTTTTTTGGAACCACTTTTATCAGGAAAATTCTTGTACTTTTCAGAATTTTCTCCTTTGACTTCTTTATGCTTTTCTGAATTTCCATGTTTATGCTTATTTGATTGTCCATGTTAAGATTTTTCTGAATATCCATGTTCAGATTTTTCTGAATATCCATGTTTATGCTTTTCTGAATTCCCAGGTTTATGCCTCTCTGATTGTCCATGTTTAGGTTTTTCTGAAATTCCATGCGTATGCTTTTCTGAATGCGGATGTTTATGTTTTTCTGAATGTTTATATTTGTCTGAATATTCCCGACTGTCATTTTCATGTTTTATGTCCTGTTTTCTATTTCCATCTGTAGAAGATTTTATATGTCGACTCTCATTATCTGATCTTTCCTTTTCTTTATTCTCTACTGAAATTTTTGTCGGTTTACTTTCACTTTCAGATTTTTCCTTATGTTTAGGACGAGATTTCTCCTTTCTCCTTTCATTTATAATTTCTAACTTTTTTGTCACTTCTTTGTCAATCTCTTTATCAGTCTCATTTGCTTCCAGATTTTTATCCAACCTTGATAAATTCAGTTTCAAAACTTTGGCTTTGGGGTCAATAACAAATTTAGACTTTTTATGATCTTTTACTTCATCTTTGTCTTGTCTTTTCATGCATTTTGGACCAATTTTGGGTTTCTTTGCAACATTTTTAAAATAAGAAATGTCTCCACTTCTCTTTAAATCATGTACACTGCTGTTCATGTCTTCCTTTCCAGACTCTGCATTTTTCTGTAAATTCAGCAGTTTAGACTGAATGTCTTTATCGGTGTCCAAAACCACAGAACAGTCTTTTAATTTATAGTTCTTTTTCATTTTTGGTGATAATGATAAAGAGTAATCTCCCACTTTATTTGGAGATTTACTTCCTTTGTTGTCATCTGTCAGTCGCAGGTCAACAATTGTTTAAGGTTTAGCTGACAATGACGGCTGTTGAGAAGCATTGTTCTTCGAAGGACTGACTGAATGCGATTTTCTATTTGTATAATGAACAAGAGCTTCAATATCATCCATCTGTAAATATGCCTCTTCCTCTAGTTGCCTCCCCTGTATTTCTTCTTTCACAATAGTGATATTACTATCTTCTAGTTCTCTCCCATGGTTTTCTCTATTCACAAAATTTACAATGCCATCTTCAAGTTGCCTTCCTTGGTCTTCTATTTTCACAATATTTACATGACAATCAGCCAGTTGTCTCCCCTGGTCTTCAATTTTCACAATATTTACATGACAATCTGCCACTTGTCTCCCCTCATCTCTTCTATTGACAACATTAACAACACTATCAATATCAAATTCACTGAAATTGCCCAACTGGTCACTATCTTCTAAACCTTTTTGCATTGCCATTTGCATCAAACCTTTGATAGGTGAACTATTAGGCTCCTTTTTAATGTTGACAACTGTTTCTTTTTGAACTGGGGAACCAGTCTGGGATCCAGTAATTTCTGTCATAATCATTTCTGTTTCAATGTCTCTGTACGACCTATTGAACTTCCTTGGACACATCTCAGAGTTCCTATCAATAGTTTTGACCAAGGAGTCAATGTCGAAGATGTCAGTATGTTCCGTCTTGATCTGGGATGGATCAATCGGCATGGTTACTGATTCTTCTTCCTTTTTCCTTTCCTCCATTCTTTTACTTTTTCTATAAATATCTCTTTCAGAGATTTTGTTTACATCGGTATTTTCCACGGGAAATGTCGGAGTCATGATACCAGTAACTGAGCTTGTTTCACTGTTTAAGTCATCCTCAGATAGAAATTCTGTATCATCACCTGAAAAAATTAAAATAAAAATATATTTATTATTGTTCGTATATTAATAAATGATATATCAACTTACATTTGTTTATATAGTACGCCATTTTAAAAATCTTTTATTTTTTATTCTGCACATTGCCAAACAAAAATTGTGAAAAAAACAGTAAACTGCTAATCTCATCCAACAGATCAATTTTAGGTCACGGTGACAGAGTTTTAAAGTAATTTACCTACAGTGATTGCTATTCTATTAGACCTGAGGTTGTGAGTTTAACAATGGCAAGGTTAATTGGACTTTGATGTTGATTGACAAGAATTGCCAATTATCCCGCCCACTGTCTACGGTACCATGATTTTAATTGACAAGGTTTGCCAACTCTCCTGCCCAGTCTGCATGTTCTTTCTGGGTACTGGGGTTCTCAAGCTATCAGCACCAACAAAAACCATGTTGAAACCAAACAGTGGCATTAAACACCAACAAACAAAATTGTAAGTTCACTCATACAAAATTTTGGAAGATGATGATTTTTTTTTAAAAATGATCGTCACCTCTCAATCAAACAATTACCCTTATTTGGACATTAAGTGGAAAATTTAAACTAAATATAAAAAAGAAGATGTGGTATGATTGCCAATGAGACAACTCTCCACAGTATGATTGCCAATGAGACAACTCTCCACAAGAGACCAAAATGACACAGAAATAAACAGGTATAGGTCACCGTATGACCTTCAAAAATGAGCAAAGTCCATACTGCATAGTCAGCTATAAAAGGCCCCAAAATCACAATTGTAAAACAATTCAAACGAGAAAACTATACCCATATGACTGGCCCTTTTTAATTTTTTTTTAAAATGAATCAGATGACCACAATTTTTTTCAATGCAACTACCCCGTATCTAAAGCTGTGATACATGAATCAAAGGAGCTATGTAGATTTGTATCATTTTTTATAAAAATATGATGTGGTACAGTGGCGTATCCAGAGGGGGGGGGGGGGGGGGGGTTCCAAGGGTTGGAACCCCCCTTTTTTTGGGACGATCAATGCATTTGAATAGGGACATATAGTTGGAACCCCCCCCTTTATCCTGGGTTGGGAACCCCCCCTTTTAAAAATGGCTGGATCCGCCCCTCTGGTATAATAACCAATGAGTCAACTCTCCACCAGAGACCATATGATATATAAGTTAATAAGTTCATGCCACTGTACGACCTTCAACAGTGAGCAAAACCCATACTGCATAGCAAGCTTTAAAAGGCACAAAAATAACAAATGTCTAACAATTCAAACAAGTTAAGAAACTGGCCTGATTTATGTACAAAACAATAAAAATATGATACTGTATATGAAACAACAACCACACTGAATTACAGGTCCTAACTTGGAACAGGCACATACAGAATGTAACAGGGTAAAACCACACTGAATTACAGGTCCTAACTTGGAACAGGCACATACAGAGCAACAGGGTTAACATACAAATAAGAAGATGTGGTATGATTCACAGATTGTCAATGAAACAACTCTCCACCAGAGACCAAATAAGGTAGAAGTTAAAATCTATAGGTCACTGTACAGCCTTCAACAATGAGCAATGAGCAAAACAAGTTTGCATGTAGCCTTCTCTCCCATCTAGTCTTGGACAGTGGTGTAACAGCAAACATAAAATCAAACGATAAAAATATGACGAAAATGTGGATTGTGTCCACATGTGGACACAGATGAGGCCATAAAAAAGAATAGGTTGGTTTGCCCTAACCCGACCGACCCATAAAAAAGCACCCGAGTCAAAATCTTTTTTATTCAAAATTTGCGATGTTTTTTTTTTTTGCGGAGTTTTGTCGTATCCGTATCCATCTTGAGTTTGTTGCTTAGAATAACCTGATCCGATCTGACCGCGCTGTATCACAGGACAATTTGTGTTATGTATTAAAGCCTCCAATTGATACGGATGAAAAACAACATGTTACCGTCTAGTACAAATAAAGGTTGGATTAAAATCAAAACCGGTAGTTTCCAACAAATTCTCTTGTTTTGAAAACGCAAAAACATGGAAAGAGGTGTTTGATAAAGTGTGTGATGACAATTTCATACTAAGGAAACTGATGAAATTTGTGTGACTGTCTCTGACGGAAAGGGACACTTGTTTGACATTGTGAGCCCGATTTTGAGGAACCAATCCAAGTTGTTCAGGAATTTGATTAGGCATTAAAATTTGATTAAAATGATATTATTCTGACAGAAGTTCTGTCAATAGTGAAAAATTAAAACTGAATTACAGGTCCTAACTTGGAACAGGCACATACAGAATGTAACAGGGTTAACATAAAAATAAGAAGATGTGGTATGATTCACAGATTGTCAATGAAACAACTCTCCACCAGAGACCAAATAAGGTAGAATTTAAAAACTATAGGTCACTGTACAGCCTTCAACAATGAGTAATGAGCAAAACAAGTTGTGAGGGATGTACAAATACCCTGCCATGTCCAGTCTGTGTTTTTGTTAGATATTTTTCTGCTTTGTATCGATCTGATGAGTTAAGCCCTTTTAAAATGATTTTATAGTTTGATCTGATGTTGTGCTGTAACACCACTATCCCAGGTTAGGGAGGGTTGATTTCTTGATTGACAACATATTTGTTACGTTTGGAGGACGTGTTTTTCAACAGACTGTCGGAATTCCAATAGGAACCAATTGTGCCCCTCTTTTTGCCGACTTGTTTCTTTATTATTATGAGGCTGACTTCATACAGGAACTTCTTAGGAAGAAAGATAAGAAGTTAGCAATATCCTTTAACTCTACGTTCCGCTATATAGATGATGTTCTCTCACTAAATAACACAAAATTTGGTGACTATGTTGAACGAATCTATCCCATCGAACTAGAGATAAAGGATACTTCAGATACAGTTAAGTCTGCCTCATATCTTGACTTACATCTAGAAATTGACAATGAGGGTCGGTTGAAAACAAAACTTTACGACAAAAGAGATGATTTCAGCTTCCCAATTGTGAACTTTCCATTTCTATGTAGCAACATTCCAGCGGGGCCTGCATACGGAGTATATATCTCCCAATTGATACGATATTCCCGGGCTTGTGTTTCCTATCATGATTTCCTTGATAGAGGATTGCTTCTCACAAGGAAGCTATTAAACCAAGAGTTCCAAATGGTGAAGTTGAAGTCATCCCTTCGTAAATTTTACGGACGCCATCACGAGTTGGTTGATCGTTATGGAATAACCGTTTCACATATGATATCGGATATGTTCCTTATGTCTTAAATACAATACCCTCCCTTTTCACGAATGTGACTTACCGAATTAAGACTATTTACCGGATTTGTAATAACATAAGCAACACGACGGGTGCCACATGTGGAGCAGGATCTGCTTACCCTTCCGGAGCACCTGAGATCACACCGAGTTTTTGGTGGGGTTCGTGTTGGTTAGTCTTTGGTTTTCTATGTTGTGTCATCTGTACTATTATTTGCCTGTTTGTCTTTTTATTTTTGGCCATGGCGTTGTCAGTTTGTTTTCGATCTATGAGTCTGACTGTCCCTCTGGTATCTTTCGTCCCTCTTTTGATGCCTTCAAACATGTTTAACCCTCCACATTCTTTATGTGTCTGTCCAAAATCAGGTGCCTGTGGGTCAGTGTTTGTCTTTGGTTCATGTCTGTCATAATTGTTCTTCGTAATTTGTTTTTTTTCATAAAATAGGCCGTTAGTTTTCTATTTTCATGTCAGGGCCTTTTTATAGCTGACTATAAGATATGAGTTTTTCTCATTGTTGAAGGCTGTAGGGTTGCCTATAATTGCTTACTTCAACTTTGGTGGATAGTAATGTCTCATTGGCAATCATACCACATCTCCTTAATTTTATAAATAACTATCTGATTTCAGAAACAAATAAATTTCAAGACTTCAACATATTTGAATAAGGTGTAATCATGCCCTTTTTGAGATTAATACTTTGCAAATGTCAAATACTGACCTGATCAATGTCATGCCTGTTTTGAGATAAGCACTCTTCCATTGTCAAATCCTGACCTGAACAATGTAGGCATGTTACATGTTTTCATTCATAAAAATATTTCTAAAATAAAATGCTCCATGGGGCACAGCTTGATAAGGTCAAACCCAGAACAATTGGTGGAAGTATGGACACTACATTCAAGCTTGATACAGTTCTGAATTTGGATTGTGATTAAATATTTCACACAACATAGGTTTCTGACACAGAATGAATGTGGTCGAAGAACTGAAAAATTTACAATTGGACATTTACCTATTATGGTCCAATATCCAAAATCTAAATACTTGGTTAGATTCAGCATATCCAAGTACAACAAGAATTCAATTCATTTATTTATTAATGGACAATATCAGCTAAGTTTTTAAAATGCTCCATAAAGGAATTTAGTATAAGCTGTAATTGGTAGAAAATCTTTTAATAAATTAATAATTTTTTGGTGTGTGAATATTGCTACAAATGGGGTACAGATGAATTTGTATGGTAGTTGAAATTTATTTGTCATCAGGTAATGATTGAAGTTTTTAAACATGTTGTGACTTTGGCTGATGAGAAAGGGGAGGACATTTTTCTTGACATTGTTAAACTCAGTGTCTTCCCTAGAAAATTTTTCATGCATGGTGGGTCCATGGTGGATTTGCAATGCGGCGCGCGATGTTTCTTTTTCAGAATTAGTTACACTACATAATTTATATGTTTATAGCCATATACCAATCTAATTGTTTTATTATAGGTAAGTCATGGAACTTTAAAGTATTTATTACAGATGAGAGGAATTAATTAAATTAATTAAAGGTCTTATAAACAATAATAAAATGCTCCGCAGGGCACAGCTTGATACGACCGCAGAGGTCGAACCCTGAACTGTTGGGGCAAGTATGGACACAACATTCAAGCTTGATACAGCTTTGCATTTGGATTGTGATTAAATATTTGACACAGCATAGGTTTCTAACACAGAATGAATGTGGTCTAAGA